GTGTGCTGACGTTCAAAGAAGCGACTATACAAACGTGCACGGGGGCTTTGCTTTGTTTTCTTTATTGAGGGAATCCAAACAGTCAAATTCACCCCTCTCATTTGTTTCTTGCACCTTTGAAACAGTTAGATTTTTCTTCCATTTCAGATCACTCTATTTTACCGTTAATAAAGAGCGGGTAAAATCAATTCAATGTAAAAGCATGGTTTTGAAACAGACTGCTTGATTCTTAAACACCCTAAAGAAACCCGCCAAAGGATTACAGCTCAACTTTCCAATGCCGCTGTTAAATGAGGCTCTCAACTGCATCGATTTCCTACAGCGGGGCTATTATTAATTCACAGGAAATGGGAAAGCTTGGAGGAAGAGCTCCTGCTTGGAATTTCAGGTTTTCATTGTTCCTTCCGATCCCGGCTCAAGAAAAGGCTGCGGCTCAGGCCAAGAATGCAGATGATGTCATCCACTCCCAGCAGGCAGCAGAGGTGTCTGACACAACTCCACCTCAGAGGGAAAATACCGACTCCATCGGCTGTTGGAGTGGTCTGTTGAGTTGAAACGGCAGCGCCGAGGCTCAGGGGATGTCGTTGTCAGTTGGTTGGTCAACCTCTAATGGACCTAATGGACGGATTGCCGTGAAGTGTTACAGAGACATTCAGGGTTCCCCGATGTCCCCTACTGATGATGTTAGGGGGGGTTTCATCAGGTCACAATGTTGTTTAATGTCTCGTCGGCATCAGCTGTAGGCCTACTTTGTGTCCAGTGCCATGCAAATGTTAGCATGACAACACTCAGCATTGCCGCTGCGAGCACGCAATTACCTTGAGATTATAAGCCATACAATGACCATGACTATTACTAGTTATATACAAGAAGCCTACAGTAGTAGGGGCCGTTTAGGACTTAACCATTGAGACTTTCACTACTGAGACACTCTTACACGTACTAATGAAACACTCTTACGTTCAATTTGGAAATGTGTTCACACACACTGAGACACTTACATATACATACACGCTATGTAAACCTGTGCACGCGCATATATAAAACATGATACATACTCATATGAAACACTTAGACTGTCTCAATAGCCCCAAACGGCTCCTCGTATCCTCATCCTCCCCTCCTTCCTCGCTGTTTGAAGGTGTGGAGTCAGCAGTTGGCTGATTTGAAAGTGCACACTGCTGCAAAAACTTCAGAGCAGACTTTGTAATATGCATATAATCTATAATGGTCTCGATTCCCTGCAGCACCACATGATCAAAGGTACATTCATGTTTCCATTTAGTTGTAATTACTTCGGTCATCCTAGAACTTTGAATCTATTCTATCTATCCATCGCCAGATCAGTTTAAAAAAAAAAACTTTTGGTTTCTTAAGTACTTTCATGACTATTGACGTTCTCATCAGCCTGAACTGCACATTGTGTTAAGTGTTAGTGAGTTAATGTTGGCAAGCTAACACGCTGGACTAAAATAGCAAACATGGTACACCTACACCTAGCTAGCTCTTTACCTTTGCTACCAGTCGTTATGCTAAGCTAAACTAGCCTGCTATGATAGCGTGGTGTCATCTTACTCATCTAAATAGCAGCAAGAAAGCGCCCATTTAGAATTTGGGACTGAGTGGTTTTGGGGGCAGATTCTGAGTCAAGATGATGATGATGATGATAATGAACATAATCAGGTCCTTGACAGCCAGATGATTTACAGACCGCCTAGCTATCCCAGCAGACTGTTCACCTGCTGCTTTTGTTTTCGGTGTGGCTTCTAACAGGACCAGAGATGAGGCTGGCGCTTCCTTTGTGCAGGAAAAATGAGTGGAAATGAAGCTGTGTCGACCCCCATTTCTGCCTCCCTCTCATGGAAAACAACAAGCACCGCTGCTGCAGTGTGGAATCACTGCGAGAGATGTGTGGGTCTCTGGGAGGATGACCTACTTTTGTTCCCCTCTTTGGGCTGCGAGTCGCACTGCTGAGCTACACAGCTTGTAATGTTATCCCTTCTGACTGCAGGTGCAATGCTGCACAAGACGCTCCCAATGAGGCGTGTGGAGATGCTGCGGGAACGTTCTGTATTATGTATGTCTGCCAAGCACCGACCTACTAAAACATTTACTCCTATGTCAGTTTCAAATCAATTTTAATCTTGTCATTGGACTGCTGTACTCACACTTGTGGCAACATGCATGCATTAACTAGGTGTACTTAGAAGGAGGATATAAGCATTGAGAAAGTAGATACCGTTCTCCTGCAAGGCACATGTGAAGCTACCATCAGCAGCTGGTCATTACAAAGATAGGAAGCCGAGCTAGCCGGGCTCTGAAGGCATCAAAATGAGTGAATTGAAACGTCATGTCTGTACAAAAATGTATTTGTAAAAACAATTGTCAGTGGGGAGTGCCAGCCAAAAGAAAATTACAAAACCTGTAAAAATTGTTGTCGGTCCACTTTAAATTCTTGTTGGAGGACTTCCAACTTTTTATATTGACTAAACTAAGATTTTAGTGAGCTTTGGAGTAGTAGTCAATTGTGGTTCCCAATGTGGGGTCGGGAACCCAACAGAGATGACGAACTACATTGGCAAGCATAAAAAAGAAAGTCTGCCTCGCTGAATCTTTTCCCCTTTAATCTTTATGTAATTATACCTCTAAAATGTTCAAATAAAACAAGGGTTTTGGTGGAACTACTCATAACCATTAAATATGCAATCAGTGGGATCCAAAGGAGACAAAGCTTCTGTCCAAAGCAGAAACGTTGGGGACCACTGAACGAAAGGAAGGTGATATAAATATTAATTTAAATAAATGACATTGTCTTTCTGTATACTGGGTCACATTCAGAATCCCATGACGCGTGACCTGCCTGACTTTGAACCCCCTTTCACCAGGGGGGTGTTTGCAGTCGCGCTAACAACCCTGCTGACTTATTTAGCAGCCCTGCCTATGTACATTTGTCAGTGGAGTTAATGTCTCTCAGCCAAAGTGCCTCTTTGCCTCTGAGGCGCTGCGCATCGCTCCTTGGGGGGCGTTACAACTTCTAGCAGTGGTCCAACTGCATCAGCAAAATAACTTGGTGGAAGTGGAGGAGGTCCATGTTTTGATGGTTCTCTAAAAAAGTAGATGATCTTGCATAAATGCAGAACCCGTTGCCACTCGAGTTCTACTTTACGCAAGGAAACCAAGGAAAGGAATTGAGCAGTCTGATGCATTTCATAAATAATGTCAATGTAGCCAGCATTTGGTTAGCTTAGCATAAATAATGAAAGAAGGGGGAAACAGGTAGCCTGGAAAGACCTTGTATGTGCACTCTGTGACGGTGTAATTCGTAACGGAAACTGTTAAATAGTTAAATTAAGGTTGAGAAATTAAAAGTAACTTTTGGACATTCGGGCTGCTTGTTTTTCCCCGTATGCTTCGGGCTCAACTGTCACTGAGCGTCCTGACTTCAGCCTCACATGTTGCGTGGAGACATGAGAGCGGTGTTACTCTTCTCAGCGTGTTCCTCCACAAGTCAAACTATTCATTTGGTTCTTGCCTGGTTTTAAATACAATAGGTGAAGAAAAGAAACAGTAATTCACTTCTGTGGGAGAATCAATGCAAAACCAGTTCTGTATTTGTGAACCTCTCATTAAAACAATAAAGGGTCACATAGTGTGTAAATCTTTGCAAACAAACTTTACTAACAAACAGACTCTCTGGAGGAGCGATTTCACTCAAGGTTTTGACCTTGGCTTTTATGTGTTAATCGTGTTAGGCTAAGCCTAATTGCTTAAGGGAATAACCGGCTACACAGCGTTGAAGGCCCAGCTCCTCATCCACTCCGCAGAATGTTGTTCCTGTCAGCGATTCCTGTGCGAGAAACTGGGTGACAGCGTCCCCCTAAAGTGTGGACACGGGTGAACGCTGCGTCAAAGGGAAAGTAGGAGCGCTAGGAGACATTAAGCAGTTTAGAAAGTTTGTCTAGTGTGATATAAACCAACAAACAAGGAACCAAGTGCTTTCTTGTGTGCACTTGTTGCTAAACACCTTGGAGTGTCGCTGCTTGGACAGTTTTGTTCATTTTAACAATTGTGTTCAGCATGTCTGACCGACAAAGGTGAACATTTATTTTTACCGTGCCCACTGTTTTTCTAAGGGAAAATTAGGGCATGATGAGCTGCAGGCTTTTTAAGTACCCGCCCACTTAATCATACAACACCCTGATAATAACCCACACGTACACAAAGGTAAACATTGATAAATATGAGTAATTTTACTAAACTGTAAAACCAGGGAGGTTTTTTTGGTGGAAGCATTTATTGTCGTCACATTTATATTTTTTATTTCATCTGTTTCAAACTGGTTCTTATTTTCGGGCGCCTGATCCAACAGACAATTGATTTTGGAAAATAAAGGAGGGATTTTTATATCAGATTATCCGAAAAAAACAGACCTGGGAGCGTCCGACTGCGACAGTCTCCTCGCTCTTTCGGATACGGCTGAAGAAGAACATGAGAGATGAGACTACGGTCGGTGTTGCTAGGCGATGGCTCAGAGCTTCTGAAGGAGGAAGGACGAGGAAATCCAGCAGAAGAGCGGAGGAGTCTCAGAAAACCAAGTTGCGTCACACTCACTTTAAGTGAAAATGAACACTGACCAAGTCATTCGCTCTCTGTTGATGGATTAACTCAAAAAGATAGACATATTAAGATATTCATCGATCTGTATCTTGAAGATGCCTAAATGGATTGTTGGAAAATACATTCTTATTCAAGTGCCATGATGATGACATTTCTAAAAAGCTTCCCTAAAGCCTCAGCTGTAATTAGTGCGTTGTGCCTGTTGATATTGGCCCGCAAGAATGCTTCACTGAGATTGTTAACATGTCGAATACCTACTTAACATCAAAATGTTGCATTAGAAAGTATTGTCGATGGCAGAAGACATACAGGACACACTGCACTTTAGTTTGGCTTAATCCTGATGAAACTATAGTGCCAATTTCAGTAATGTTCACCAAAAATCAAAATGCACATTTATTTACCAAAAATGTATGTTTAAATTTTTGACGCGTTAACAAGATTTCCCTCTTCAGTAACTAAAGCGCTGAGTGCTCCAGAACAGGTCGGCCCTCCTCACATTACTCAGAGAACGAACCGATTGCTGGTTTTGGTACTTTCATGGGGTTTATTGACAGTAAGAAAAGTATAGAACAATGTTAGCCTCATATTTTTAACAAAAACAAAATAAAAACATTCAACTAAAGACAATTTTTAGATAAATAAACAATAACTTCTTCCTCTGTTCAGGTTCATGTTTATAACCCAATGCTGCCCCCATGTGATCATTTAGGGAGAAGTAATAAGACACACAATCCAACAACTCCTCTTGGTGTCGGGAGATCAAGTAGCACGCTTCCTACTCTTTCTTCTTTTTATCTCTTTAAAAAACACAAAAGGGACCAAGTGTGAAATAATTCAAACATTCATACAAAATAGAAGTGAACAAACGGTTGTTAACTCACTGAAAGCAGCACTGCTGCCTCCACTGTGGCGAAGTTGAGCTCCTCCTTCTGTTGTTCCTGCAGGCTCTGCCGCCCGCAACAGGTGTCGAGGTACATGCTAGGAACAAGAACAACAAACAGATGCCCTCAAATGATAAACAAAGCGCTGCATCTATTTGAAAAATATGCGTCACTTGCAGCCACCCGAAGCGAGCCCTCTACGGCCCCCAAAAAATCCATAGATCACAGAAGACGATAGAAGATTCTCAAAGGGGAAGTGAAGGAAAGCGTACGTGGGCCCTCAAAAAGCATGAATGTCTACTGTGCATAAGCCGAAGCAGAAGCCCACACAGGACCCAGGAGGGCATAGACGCTCGTTTCAGACAGTGACCACAGACACCAGCAGCAAGAGATGATGCACATGTGACGGTTGGCCGACCCGGGGTTAAATGCCACGACGCTCCCGTGCCGAGAGGGGATCTCTGGACTCCGATAACTGCTAGGTAACCTTTCCTTTGCCCTAGTTTGTGGCACACTTGAGGTCCCCTAAATGAATAACGCACACGGGGAAAGTTGCCAGCATACATCATGTTTTGAGGTTTGCCATTTTCTCTGTTTTGAACATCTTGATGCTATCTTGATGAAGAAATATTCAATTTTCTGCAGCCTATAGAGGACATGGGAATCCCTTTAAAATATTTGTTATCTTTCATCAACTTGGAAAATACCTCCAGAACAAAGACCTAACTGTTTACTAAAGAGACGCATTGAAGTGTATAAACTAAAGTTACTCTCTCTGTGTGACGTAGAACTGACCCAGGAGCTGCGGGGCCGCGGAGGAGGATCGGCGCCGGCTGTGCTCTGGAGCCTCTGACTGTGTCGTCGATCGGCGGAGCTGCTGGGACGATGTGAAGAGGAGGGCCGAAGGCGAGTGCTAGTGGACGCAGATTCATCTACTTCAGCTAGGAGGTCCGTTAGCTCCCCGTCACTGATCTCGCCCTCCACCGTGAGCTCGTCTGACAAAATATGCATTTAAATAATATGTTTTTCTGCATGTTACAGTCTAATTTGTATCATCATTGGAAGCTATTTAAACCCGTCCCTATGATGTGGATGTATCAGCTTCACCAATAGCCTTGATAATAGACATTTACATTTTTCTTTCCTTGTTCAATGTTATATTCATGTTATAACAGAGGTGATTTTGGATGACGTGTGTATAGATGGTGCCAGATACCCTCATAGTGAACGACAAAGCTTTACCCGCATGCTGGGGAGTGACTGCACACTGAGCACAAATCCAGTCACCTCCAGGGCCGCTGTCTGATGATGGAGTCAAGCAGTCCGTATGATAGCTGGAACAACAAGCACAAACACAGCTCTGGGATGAAGGACTGTAGATTAATATTTCCAGCAACTCTACCGGGGATGGGTTAAAATATAGGTGTGAATGCCCTGCAAATGGAAAGAGCATAAAACTGCAGTATCGTACCCTGAATCACAGCGCGTGCACACAAGCAGTCGGTGCCTGCGGTCGCCGCGTCCACATTCCTCGCAGATAACAGTGTTGTTTCCCTCTTCTTCTTCTTCTTCTTCTTCGTCATAATCGTCTTCCCTTTTATTTGTCTTAACTTTAATCTGCAGCAACACAGCAAACAGTTCAGCCACAAAACACAGGCCACATATTCCGGCACGTTTCCAAAATACTGCCAGTAATCACCTTCTTGCGGACGGCCCCTCCGGGACGCCGTCTCTGCTGGATGGAATCAAAAGTGGTCCGATCCACAGGACACGTGTTAGCTGTCTGAGATTAAGGACAACAACACTTCTCAAGTTGAACAATAATAACAAATCTTGATGTTGATTTAGTTCAGACGAAGTGGTGTTTTACAATTAGATTCACAGTACAGAGAAAACGAAAATGTGATGCACTAAAGTGAAGTATAATGCAAATAGAGTGTATAATAGTGTTAGGACTTTGTATTTATCGTATAGTCTAAAGCAAATATTCCCGTTTGAGAGGCAGAGTTAATCAATTAATCATTAAACTAATCTAAAATGGCTTTTGACAGTTTTGAACTATGACATCAGCAGCGTTATTTGTCTCAATATATAAATGTAATCTATGACACTAGTACAAGTTAGTGTGGTAAATACGAGCTTTACTCTGCAGGACAGGAGTGTGTGTTTACCTGGGACCACTGCAGTATACATTCAAGGCAAAATACATGCTGGCACTTCTCCAGAGAGGCAACTACTTGCTTCTCAAATGGACTCAGACAGATGTAACATTTATCTGCATCTTCGCCACATACTGCGTCTGACACGGTGGATTTATACATCTTCTAAATGCGGCGAGGATAATGACTGTTTACAGACGGTGGTTACACGTTGGCTAAACGTTACACTGCTGTCGATTAACGTTAATTGTTTAACGTCACATTAACAATAGCCAAACTAGCTAACGTTAGCTTCGCTTGATCAGCGGCTAGCAGGACAAGATCGCGCAGCCTTTTTCACCGCATCTTCCGCTCTGCTCAATCCACTTCCGGTTTACTTTTGCCAAAATAAAACTCCGAATTTACTGTTGTAACCATAGATATGTAAAGGCAACATTGAAGTGACGGGCCCAAAGAGCCCAAACCATGCCACAGCGTAGTGTCATGAATTGTGTTAAGTAACTTGAAAGAAGTGTATCTGAAATGTCACTACGAATTACCCAGACTAGAACCTAATGCTGTTTAACCAAGCAAAAGGACTGTGTCATTTTAGAAAGCCTGGATAATGATCTTATGCGCACAACATATCGGTTTGTTGGGAAAAGACCGTTCAGACCTCACATCCCCAGGACATTTGCACAGTAGTTTCTCACCATGGAAATATATGAACTTAAATATCTTGTCTGTTTATATTGTTCATTTTTGCTTATGTGTTTATCTTATTTTTATTCGTATAGTGCACCAACCACCAAGAAAAACTACTGTATGTGTAACATACGTGGAAATAAATGGCTTCTGGTTGTGAAATCTTGACGAACCATGTTACCAATTGATGGAAATGAAGGGGAGGAAACAGTGTGTCATGCGGTTTTCATGCCCATGGCTTACCACTGAAACAGAAAATAAAGACATGTACAGCACTGTTCACCACAATCAGAGGAGCTGCTCAACCAATGTGCACCTGCAAAACTAAGCTTGCATCTCATGTTTTTGAAACATACAGTGCCGCTTTCTTCAACTGGAGATCAGACAACAGCTTCAAGGAAAACAACTTGGTAAGCTTTATTTTCCGAACTGCTTTTTAAAAAAACTTCAACTGTACATATTCTAGGTTTATTTTGTGTAAATATTTTTAAAGTAGGGTCTATAATATATTATATATAAACACATTTTACATATATAATTATATCTCTCTTTAAAGTCTCACAATTGATTTAGTGCTCAAGATTGAAACAAGGAAGCAAGTTATCTACGAGTCTCTTTCATTTCTGTTTAACTCCGTAATTCAATGTGTGAGTAAACGTGTGTCATGTCTGAAAATGAGTGGGCACCTTCTGGAACAAAAAGAATATTTGTCGAGTGAGAAACTGAAAGTGGTAAAACTGAATGGAAACATGTTTGTGTTGCAGTAAGAAGCGTTTATGAGAATCGACCGACGCTCACTGGCTTTCATCTGAACAAACCCTCACACTGCAAAGATGAATGTGACAGGTGGCGACTGCAGTCCCCCCTCAGTAGAGTACCAGTGCTACTTCTTCCCAACGGTCTACATCCTCGCTTTAGTAGTAGGTCTACCAGGAAATCTGATCGCCCTTTTTGTCTTCACCTGCAAGATCACTTCCCGCACGGCCTTCAGTGTTTACATCAGCAATCTGGCGGTGGCAGACATTCTCATCCTGTGCACGTTGCCTTTAAGGATCCACTACCACCTCAACAGTAACAACTGGGTGTTCGGGGATGTCGCCTGCCACGTCACCGGCACCCTGTTCTTCGCCAACATCTACTTGAGCATCTTCTTCATGACTTGTATCTGCGTGGACCGCTACATGGCCACAGTACACCCGCACAGCCATTTGAAAATGCGGAGCCACCGCAGCTCCCTGGTCGTGAGCGTTGTGCTCTGGTGCGTGATGGCGGTGGCCATGCTGGTCTTCGTCCTCATGGGGCCCCTGAACACCAACGCGCACACATCTGGAGGCCACAGCTGCTTCGAGAATTTCGCCAAGGAGGAGTGGGACAGGCGCCTGCTGGGGTACAGCCTGCTGGGCCTGATCTTGGGCTCCCTGGTGCCATCCGTCATCATCCTGGTGTGCTACCCGCTGGCGGCGAAGCGCATCTCCAGGATAAGGACTAAAACCGCCCAAAAGGCCGTGAAGGTCATTTACACCATCCTGGCCATAACGCTGCTCTGCTTCCTGCCAAACCACGTGGCGTACCTGCTGCACTTCCTGCGACGGATGGGGGTCATCCAGAGCTGCTTTTTGGTCAACGCCATCTACCACGCCAGGCGGGTCACCATGGCGCTCGTCACCTTAAACACGTGCCTGGACCCCGTGCTTTACTACCTCACTACCACCCACTGCAAATGGAAGCAGTTGAAGATGGCGTGGCCCTGGGGGAGAGTCCGGAGAAGTAGGGGGGTATACACCATCGCAATGAGCTGAACGGTAACGGTGTATGGTAACAGTGTATGGTAACAGTGTATGCATACTGTGCCCATCACCTTATACGAGTCATTGATTATGAACGTTAAAAAAAAAAAACGTGTTTATTGAAACTGACTTGTACAACAAAATTAAGTGACAAATCAGCATCTTATTTTTCTTACTCTTGTGCAATTCAGTTAACGAGTCCATGAAAGAGTACCCTACTAAGAAGAATGGGTCAATTACAATCAGTATTCCAAGGCAACCGGTTTAAGGTTTACAACTACAAAATATGGAATCCTCTGCATTTGGAAGGAGTTTTGAGCCTCCGCAAATCCGGGCTTAAAGTGAGATATGGAGTGAGAGTACATGAGTTAATTTTAGTGTGAAATTTCCTTCAAATGTTCTTGTTTTGGAAACAAAAGATATTTCAGCAGAGTCCGGATGGGAGCCCCTTTTTCAGCAGAGTTGAAAGAAAGCTGCCCAGGTCCTCGTCCTGAGAAAGAAAACCAGAATATTAATTCAATAGATGCAGGATTTTCATCTTAACACATTAAAAGAATAAAAAGATACTTGGAAATGGGTATCAGCAGTGAGATAAATCAAAAGAGGACCGAAAAAGCAGATGTTGAGAAAACTCATTGGGATCCCCAAATGTTCCTTTACACGTTGACAACTTCAAATGAAATCCCTTATTTTTGCATACAAAAAGAACGTGTCTGAAATTCCACCAAAATGCAAGCATGAACAAAATATGGTTCCATTGTAATTTAATAAACAGATTATATTTCTGATTTTAATTAATTGTTTTGTATAGAAAATACTGTAAGCCTGAAAAATGTCTAAAGCCCAAGGAGACATCTTCTGCTGTTTGTCTGATAAAACTTCAAAAGATATTTAATTTACAATGAAATAAAATATATCAGGGTTTTCCAGAAGAACATTTTTTCACATATAGGTTGGTTGACTTTTTTAAGTCTTTTAAAGTATTTTTTTTTAATTCGCATCGCTACTATAACTGTGGTACTTTTTTGTATGTTTATTACTCTGTATGTTACAAATAAACATTGAATACTTGATTGGTTATCAGATTAGTTGGCCTTTCATTTTCTGCAGATCTATTTAAATTTATTGAATTGATTCATTCATTTGACATTTATTGCAATCTTCATTGGGAGATTACACATGTGAGATTAAAGAGATAAGAGTAACACAATTTTCTCTGTGTGCTTTTGACAGGAAACCACTCCGCAACCTTCCGTTACGCAGTGATAGCAGTTTAAATATAAGGTTTCCCACCACTGTCTCCTCCCACACTGTCTACCCACACAAGTCTTATTTAACAACCATTTCCCCAGACTTTTTGGGCTTGTAAAGACTCGTTAACTGATCGCTAGCGGTCCAAACCTTTATTGTGTAAAATCCAACATAAGCATGTGCTGTGGCGAAAAAGGATCGGCAGTTCTTATAATCACTCATTTCATTAAATGAACACGGAACAAAATGGGGCATAACCTTTGGCATATATAGTGGTAGTTTGCTTGTTCACACTTTGGTTTAGCAGATGACGCAGAGGTCAAAGCTTACATTTGCAGAGCAAAGGATAGGTTGACTGACTTGAGTAAAAAGTCCAAATACCTTGATATAGGACAAAAAAAAGGAGAAATGGCGCACAGCTATAAAAGCACGCTTGTTTACAACCAACTCTAAAAGCGTCTCCCCGCCTACGGCCTTTTTGATCAGTTTCAGTTCACAACTGACCACAAAACCAAAATAGATCTGCATAGCTGAGTCTATCAATGCATCATAAGGAGTTCCACAGGCATCTAGTCAAAGCCCCCTTTTGTATATCTTATAAGCTTCCACTGAGATAAATGAAAGATAAATACAATGGGAATTAAGATAATTATGATGATGAAATGCTTAAGCACTGAGGCACCAATTTAGTTATTATTTATTTGCTGTGAACTGCAAGATAAAAAATGCAAAAAAATGAAATCTTAAAATGAATATTTCATCAGCGTATGGCACGCAAGTTTGTTTTCATGGTGCCAAAAATAATAAGCGTTTAGATGACATTTTTACCTGATAACTCCAGGAAAGTAGCAAGACCTTGGTGTTGGCGTCTTCAGCACAGGAGGAGACTTTGATGACAATCGACTCCACCATGACCGTACCATCGGGGAGATGCTGTATGGTATAACCCTTTAACACACTGAAGCATAGAAGAGAAAAAACACATTTTTAACACAGATGTTATCTAACATGTCACACAGTAAAATGAGATTAAATATCTTAATTCTCAGAAAGGTAAAGTCAAAAAATGCAGATTAGAAAGTTGTTGCGGGAAGCCCAGTGAAGCTCCTCCTCCTGCAGTGCTACGCTGACCTCTTAAGGTGTGTGTAGATTCTGTGAAGTGTGTCAGAGTCGCTGTGCGGGTCTTGGAGCTGCACGCGGCAGGTGAAACGTAACTGGTGTTCGTTGAGGCCCAGCTCCTTCAGGGCCTGCTCCGACGACACCAGCTTCAGACTCTGTGCGCAGGGAAAGACAGAGGGCAGTCGCACCAGTTGTCTGTTGAATGCGGTAACTGAGCCATTGCCATCTGGCAGGTCGCATAACGTATTTATATAGTCCAGTGGCGACAGACTAACTGCACTGACATGTAGTCAGAAGTATTTGAACTTACGTTTTCCTTCATGATCAGGGTTCCATGCATGGTACGAGGCTTTTTGGGATCAGGAAGCGGCCCTGCAACACAAGAATGGTTTGGAACATAAATGAATAAACGAGAAATTAAACAGATACATTCAGTCAAACGGAAAGATTAAACTAAAACTCCTTGTAACCAAATGAAAACTTTGTGCCAGTTTATTACTCCTTAGGTTGTGAATTAAACAAAACAAAAACAACAACAACAAAAAACATACCTCCGAGAGCCATCTCTCGCTTGAGCAGGTTGAGGGAGATGTCCACAGGCACGCTGGGATTCGTTGTGACAGCCACCGTCTCTCCGTTGGCTGGCATGTGGCAATCTATGCCTGCCATTTAAAAAGAACATGACCAGGACTGACAACCACCATCTCCATTGCATGCACACTTCCACCAATGACTTCCAATGGGCGTGACATTGTTTATGTGGTTGGATATGCACTCACTGAACTCCTGTTCGATCTTGCCCTTGAGGAACTCCATTTTTACCGCCTCCCCGTGTACAAGCAGCATGTTTCGAGGCTCAGCCATGCGAATGAGCTGCATGATGCCCTTGGCGTCTGCATGGGCACTGAAGGACATGTACTCCACCTGTAGCTTCACATCCAACTGTAAGAAGCACAGAAATCCAGTCCATCAAGTCCAGAGTTGTTTTTCTCATGGATCCCAATTTGTTGGGGTTATTTAAAAAAAAAGGAGCCGTGAGAAAATATTTCTCCTTTTTTGTTGTTGTTGCTTTGTTTTATTATTCTGTTCCGGTCAGTTCTGGGGAAATACACTTACTGTTTTTACTGCTGAAAGTTAGATGATAAATCTTTCACTTTTATTAAATGTAGAGCTAAATCCAGGGGACATTTGTCTTAATACGTTATCACAGACTGAAAGCAGGTGAAAACCAGCCTCTGTCTAAATCTCTCTATAATATAGTGCTGCAGGCGTTTTTTGCACCTCCAGTTTCCTCGTGTTGAATCAAATTGGATTGCAACCCCCAAAATAAAGTTTGATCCCATAACTGTGACACACAAAGGGAAAAATAAAATATCTTACTGTTGATCTGCCTTCCATTTCAAGTTTCCTCTGCCCGTTTAGGATCTTGTGACCGATTGTTCCTTGTACACAATACCCAGGCATGATTACCTAAAAAAAAAACAAAAAAAAAAAACTAGTTCTTCATTTGGGAAAAAAATGAATAATAACGTCTTCTATTTTCTCTCAAGACTCACCATATTTTTCTCATTACCAGCCCACTTCTTGAAGATTTGCAAAGACTGGCCGGCATGCAACATACCCGGTGTGGCAAACACCACCTAAAAGTGCACATCAAGTTGTAGTTCACAGTCATTTGAATTTCCATTCCAAAACCAAAAACACATTCTTACCATAGGTCCAGGGTTATCAGCATAGGAGCGATCAAAAGCCTTGATGTGCTTAAATTCAAACATGTTTCTCTGTACAAAGGTTTTTCGAATCTTCTGGTTGGTCCATGTTATGAAAAGCTTGTAATAATGATTGGCTTTCTCCGTCAGCCCAGTGGAGAAGTAGATCGGGGCCTTTAGGTTCATTCTCTCCCTGTTTGAGGAGAGGAGATAATAAGCCAGAACATATTACAAAAAAGTTAATGGAGAATGCATCAATTGTTCTTTTAAACATAAAAACACGGATTGAGTAAATTTTTTTTCATATATTTTTATTTTGCCGAACAAATAAAAATCTGAATCACTGAGATTATTTATCACTTCACATTTGCTCTCTTATTTACACATTTTGACTGATTTATTTACACACAAGAATTTATAAAATGTTTAAGGTAATATGAGGCATCCTATGTGAATTTCACTTCTTTTGAAGAACTTACCAAAACGTTTCCAAAAGGATGCAGAGTTCTTGTGCCCTTCCGAGAGCAAAAACTGGAATGAGAACCTAAAAAGATGAAGAAAACAAAATTTGTAAGTCTGATCTCTCCACTATGAGATAAAGGAAGGAAAGTAAACACCTGAAAATACAGGATTACAACAACTCTGAAAATGACCTTTCCGCCTCTTTCTATGCTTTCATGCACTTTCTTCAAAAAGTCCCTCTCTCTGCATCTCTTTGAGTCCCGGATGGTGGTGGCATATGTGGACTCTGAGATGAGGAGGTCTGGACGGCACTTGTCAATCCATGCTGCACTGCAAACATAGAAACACAACGTTGAAGAGACCGTAGGCATAAACTTCAGCATTTAATCATTAAATACAATAAAGGCAATTCTCACCCTAAATGCCTGTCCGGTGTCATGTTGTAGTCTCCCTGATGAATGAAAACACATTTTTCTTACAACCTGTCCGTCAAATGCACTCTCGGATACTGACTCTGAGAAAGCGCAGACTTGTTTGCACTCACAGTGTAGACCACAGACTCTGATCCCACTTTGATGTGCACCATGGCAGCTCCCAGGACATGACCTGCATAGTACGCCTTGATCTCCAGCTCATCATCCACCTGCCAGCAGCACAACAAAAACAGCTTGATTTGCCATCCAAAGAGACGGGCAGCTGGTGCAGAAATGACTGACAGATGGATAGCTGCAAGAATCATATAACCACTGCACCTGGACGGTTTGATGCAGGTTCAAAGGTACCACTTTCTTCATGCAGTCCTTGATCATTTGCGAGGTGAAGAAGTTGGTTTCTCCCTTTTTGTCGACAGTGATCTTCCGAAAGTCCTCCAGCAAAATGGGACAGATGGCCTTGGTCGGATGGGTCATGTAGATGGGTCCATCGTAGCCCACCATCTCACTCATGAAGGGCAGAGCGCCACAGTGGTCCAAGTGGAAATGGCTAAAAAAGGAACCGGTAAAAACACTGGATTGTTTAATGGATTCTATGTATATTAGTGAGAGAACTTACGCTACACATTGTGAATACAACAAACCTGATGATCACACAGTCCAGAAACTCAGTAAGGCGCCCATTCTGAGTTATGTAAGAAAAGTCTGGGAAACGTCTCTGCAATGAAAATTAGGATTAGACCGTAATTTATTTTCATATGTTAATGTGGATTCGATTAAAGGCAGACATCTAAGCTCTTATGTCATGCTTCAATTTATAGCACCACAAGCTGTGTTTATGTAGGTTTTATAATGTCTGTTACTGAATGTGCAGGTCTGATGTTGGATATAATTGGAGTCTTATTTTCCCCACTTATTCGGGTCAAGCAATCAAATTGAAATCTAAAATAGTTTACTTACATCATCGTTGTATCCCATGTGCATCCCACAATCGAGCATTATGTTTTTGCCTCCAATAGAGACAAGGATGCAGCTGCGGCCGACATCCTGTCCAGCACCTTGGAGAGGGAACAGAGAAGTTAAAAACTGCCTCACAGCAAATGCAACAACTAACAAAGTTAGCTTCGGCAGCTAACGGCGGCTACTGGCAGTGACGGGTCAGACTTACAAAGACTTTTCGACGAACACTACTGAAAAAAATCACACAAGTTACTGCTGCTCAAAAGTGCGCAGGGAATTAAGAGAATATATAACATCTAAAAGTTATTGACACATGTATTGTTGACGGAACTAGCATAGCATATGATAGCTTCCAACTGTGGCGTTAACATTACTCACCCAGTGGCGTTACTTTAATTTCGGGCATGTTATCTCAGCCCTGTGGTTGAAGATGAGATAGTATACCAAGTTATCCCAGGACGTTGGTCTTCTTCTGATATATAGCCTTGTTTACCAAGATTTGTATTGTCTAACTGGCATCCATGTGGGTCACTTCAAGTATCGACCTCTTCTCGTCTAGCTACGCACTTCCGGGCAGCTCTTTCAAATTAAACTCCTTTTTGTCCATGTTCTAAGTTTACAATAAACATTCATTTACACAAATCTTGAATTACATAGGTTGACTCAATCCACCATTTGCGGAAACAATATTAAAGATGCTAAAATCTGCCCAACAGCCAAGATAGCGCTTTTATTTTTGAGGCAAGTTGCCCATTTCCGGTATTTCCCGGCTCGAGTCTGCGCAGTAGAGGCAGAACAGAGCAGGAATGACCTGTCGTTCCACTGAGATGAACAGTCGCTTACATTTCCTTTTTTTCTGAATTTTGTATGTATTCTGCCTCTTGTACTACAGTCGTGTACTACATTGTCACAGTCGCCCAGTTGCTTGGTAGCCGCTAGTTGCCGATTGGCTTTGGTTGATAGCACTTCCGTATAGATAACCATGGCCGGTACAGAAGAAGAAGAGAAATTCTCCTTAAAGGAGGTGCTCGACACTTTCAAGTTGTGTTTGTCGGATAGCAAAGAAATCTACCTCGAACAGTATGTGGCTGGGTGGCGTGGTCTTGTAAGGTGAGTTTATGTATCATACTATACCGAAAAATAAACTAAAGCCAAGAGTGCGGAGTTAACACACACGGTTGCGTTTTGTCCCATTCGCAGACTTTTGAACAGCTTGGGCAGCGTTTTTGGCTTCATCTCCAGCGACGCCGTCAACAAGATCAACATCCTGGTGGCCCACTTGAAAGGCGAGAACGGGTCCCGGTACGTCACCGTCCAGTCGATGGTGGCGTATGAGCTGGAGAACGACCTGGTGGACCTGAGCAAGCGGGGCAGCCACCCGGAGTCCGGCTGTCGCACCCTGCTGCGGCTGCACCGCGCGCTGCGGTGGCTGGAGCTCTTCCTGGAGCGCCTGCGCACCAGCGGCGAGGACAGCAAGACCTCGACCATGTGTTCGGAGGCCTATAACGAGTCCCTCTCGCGGCACCACCCCTGGGTAATCCGCAAGGCCGCCGGCATGGCGTTCTGCATGATCCCGGGGCGACCGGCTTTCTTGGAAGCGATGAACGTTGGCCCCCCGGAGCAGGTCGTGGCCAAGCTGGGGGAGGCGCTGCCTCTCATCTCTGAGGTGTACCAGATCACAGAGGACCTTTACAGTCGACACAGCCTGATGGATTTGCCATAGAAAGCAAAAGGTTGTGTTATTTGGCACTTTAATCTAGCTACTAGGTTTTTGGTAACATAAGGGTTGTTTATTATCTGCAAAGTGTTATTGATTAAGCAAACGTCTACCGACACTTTTGTTTTTTACATATTGTATTGTATACTACCTTACACTTTAAATGTTGCATGTTTATCTGCAATATTTATAACATGCTTCTTTTAAATTCAACTTTCCCTTGCAGACTATTTTAATTTAAGTAGACGAAGGGAAACAGTTGAACCAAAGTTTTAGCTCACTGCCTACAGCATTTATGTTGATTATAATGTGGTAATAGGACCATTAAGTCAGGTTTTTAAAGTTCTCACACCATATTTCATTCCAAATACAGCCTCATAAATTTGATGTTGTACAATGCAATATACTGGATGGATTTCTATAGTCGTGTTGTAAAAATGATCAGTCAAATGACCAACTGCATTCGTAATTGAAGTGCCAACAGCATTACATTGATCTTGAACATTAAAAAGCAAATGTACATTACAAAACAGAAGTAATCAGTACTGTGGATGCTTCAAAAACACATTAGCCTAATGGCCAAACCAAACACTTAAGACACTTTGGGAGAGAAAAAGGAATAATCAATCAACGGCTGTAAGCGGTGGACTCTGAGCTGCTGCCCCCACTGTAAATGATCTCAATGCTGTTTCTTCTATGTACAAATCACAGATACACTGTTAACAAGTGATTGGTGTGTTGTTTCTTAAGAATGTAATGTAATCTATACATTATGACTAATTAAAAACGAATGTATTAACAGTGTACAATAGTGAATATAATTGGTTGATGATTATGAATTAGTATTTTGAAAAGTTGTAGATTAATTGGGTGACATAATCTTAAGTAAATGAAGACATGAATGAACTCTGCTTGAGTCACGTTTTTATATTTTGGTGCTCACGATTGTGAATGTAGTGGTCACTACATACCGGTACTGTTATGACTGTACTTCTCTTATAATTCAACTTTTATAAAACTCCAATAGTCCAAATAGACTTAACAGTGACTTGTGAGACATACTTTTGTGAAGAAAGTTCCTTTAGAACAAAGTACATTTACTGAAGAAGATAATGTTGTAACTTTTCCTTGTACTGCTATCATTTCAATAAGAAATTAAAATGGTTTGATCAGTTTAGTTACACATTCCAATAGAAATTACAAAAAAAAAAATCAATGAATGCAATTTAACGTTTTATACATTCAGCAAGATGTTTTGCAGGCACACAAGTGCCCTCTTCCAATGTTTTTACAGCTCTGGTCAACAACATATTGGAATTGAGTTGATATGATCATGTTTATGATTCCTTATCATTTACATAAGAAAAGTTCTGAAGTATGACGGTTTTAAAACAAACGTTGAATATGCTTTTAAAGCTTTTAGAGAGACAGAACCCCCCTGAACTACATTACATATATAGCTGCAGCTGCGTGCTTCCAACAGCAGGGGGCTCCGTGACTCCAACCACGAGCCGTCGTCAAGGCAACCGAACTGTCATAGCAACCTCGCTGACGCTAAAAGAGAGGCACTTCGAGCATAAACTGGACGTAAAAGCGAACAAGCTGAATTTCCAGCGGTTTAACCTTTAATTGAGCTTCAGGGACATGATTTCTTCCGTGTAGTGAGCCGACTTCTGACCGTCGGGGTATCGTTGCCTTCGACTCTTATTGTGAAGGACTGGAGCCAAGAAACGACGGTTAATTCTCACCCCAAGGGGCTATTTTCAACTCTCCCGTTGCCACCGATGCATCTGACGAGGCCAAAGTCCTCCAAAGGGCGAAGCAGACCGTCTGTTGACGACTCTTCGCATTCCGGCGGCGTCGACGCCACACGGAGTGTGCAATCTGTGTCTCCAGATTGTCCCGCGTCCAGCAGGCCGAGCAGATCCCTGCGCTCCCAGTCCCAACCCACTATGAGGAGGCAGGAGGACGGGGCCCTGCCGGTGCTGCAACACGCTCCCGACGCTCCGCCGCCGCCCTTAAACAAGTACACGGTTCTCCCGTCCATAGGCGGAAGGCAGTCAGGTGTCAGTCCCGGCAAAAACACGTCCACGCGGCTGTCTTACGCCGCTGTCCTGCAGCGCGATCGGCCCACGAGGGACAGGGACACGACCCGGACCAGCGGCTCTGAGGTGGGCGGGGGGGCTGGGCCTAAGCCCCTCGACCGGGCACCGACTACGACAGAGGAGAGGGGCAGTTTGCTGCTGGCCATCCGGGCGCCGTGCGGTAGGAGGTTTGAGCGGCACTTTGACCCCACGGACACGCTGCTGGCGGTGAGAGCCAGCGCGGAGCTCAGGTACGAAGCCGAGTACGGAGGCGCTTCCATCGAGACCATGGACGTGCCACGCAGGACCTTCACGGACATGGGCATGAGCTTGGCCCAGTGCGGCATCTTGAACAGATCGCTGCTGTGCATCTCGCAGGATTAAAGTGCACGAGTGAACTTAAATGTTGCGTTTGTTCGTGTTGTTAGATGTGACCTTTAACTTTGGGTGTTTGAGCGTCACGTTGCAGAATGATGCAGGAGTTGATGAGGTCGAAGACATTTTGTGTCCAGCAGTTCATGAGATTAAAAAAGAAGAAGGTTGGATTCGGCCCAATGTGGGACAATCAGCAACGGTCACATTTATTTTTCTGAATCTGCATTCACGATCATATTTTTCAGAGCAGTTAGATCCACTAATGTAAGTTGTTTTGCTGCACCTTTGCTCAGAACACTATAAAAAAGGTATCCCGGGTGGCCTTATATATCCACAGTTGGCCTGTGAGGACATTTCAAATTACAAGTATACTTTATTCATTCCAAATAGGAGGTAATTAGTAAATTAACAAATTGTCTGCAGTCAGTTATCAATATCAAGAATCTTGTATTCAATACTAAAGCATAAGAGAAACAAAATACAGGTTGTTGCATTAATCGTAGTTTCTGTTGTGAATGTTCTGATATGCCAAATATGGTTTGAACAGTACAGCCAATAGATGGAGAACTATTGACTCAACTTTTATCACAACTTCTAAAATGGGTACATAACTAGTTAATCCTGTGAATGATTATTGATTTTGCAGATTTGTATGTGCTGAGCAACTAGTTGGGATACGGTAACTTGCAGAGACACTATAGTAGTTAGTGCACCATGACCAGGACAGCTGTGGGTCTCTTTCACAGAGGGGCTAATGACACGCCACAGAGGTTAAAGCACAGGCATAATTATCAAAATTAGCAGTGACACCCGTCTCCTTAGCAACACTGGTTCTTTTCTTAGAGTCAAAATGACATTCATACTGAATGGATCCATAAAATCCTTTCTAGATAGATGAAAGCTGTGTGAGGAGTTAAGGTAAGACAATATGAAGTCGATCTGCTCACTCTGGCAACGGAAGAGAGAGAATTTAGAAGTTACAAGTTACCTGTGTTTTGAACATATTCTACATTACCTGAAAAAAAAATACATTTTTATTAAATATTGTTTTATAAAAGGTTCTGAGGAACATTCAGCGTTTTGGATACAGGATTAAATGGTCCTGCTTGATACGATGCCAACTCTCTATGCTGAAGGTGTCAAAAGTATTTCAACTGCAAGAAACTCAACAGATTTAATATGCAACAGTAGTTATTTATTTTTCACCCACACAAAAAGAGCAACAACTCTGGCCTCACAGTCTTAACAGCTGTGGAAGAAAAAAGGGCATTTAAACTGTATTAATTGCTTCAACTCACTCAAGGAGATTTTATTTGAACTCAACCATGATTTTTAAAATCAGATCCATTCTTAAATCTCCACAATCATATGTTAATAATTCACATCAAACAACACTGCAAACCATTCGCCGTAGTCTCTTCACCACTCTTCTTAAGTGCTGTTTCACAGCTGACGGCAGGTTTATAGTCTCTGGGAGACAGCTTATAAAGGCTTAGAAGGCACTCCAGCAATCAAGGTCGGACACATCTATGAAAAAGAACTTTGGCACAAAGAACCGCCATAAAACAAGTTTGCATAGTCAAAACTAGCATGCATCTCAGCTGTAAACAATAAAATAATTCAAACAATAAACCGTGCAAATAACTCAAGTCGCTTTTGAGGTAACGCCTCCGTTTTATTCCTGCACGTAGCAGAGCCTTCAGCTGATCAAGCTTTCCATTTCCTCCAGATTGCTCGTGTCCAGCTCCGTGATTGTCCTGTCTGTGGCAGAGAGACGGGGAGACAAAAGTCACGTTGGGATCCGGGCAGTTGCTGTTCTACACGCTAGAACTGAAAGAAAACCAGCAACATACTGAAATGCATCTCGATCTCGTGGATGATGTCCATGCTCTTTTCGCCGTCCACCATATTGACCGCAAACCCTCTCCTGCCGAAGCGCCCCGTGCGGCCAATCCGGTGGAGGTACGTCTCGTTGTCGGCCTTCCCGTCCAGGCCCACGGGGAGGTCAAAGTTGACCACGAGCGACACTTGCTCCACATCAATACCTGGGCTCAACATAAAGTCAAAATGGGTTGGAGACCTGAGGACAGATAGCATGAGCGTTCTACAAAAGGAAGACCTCTCTCACCTCTGGAGCACACGTTTGTAGTCACGAGTACTTTCTCCTTGCCGTTCCTGAAGCGCTCGATGACGGCCGCTCTCTGCTCCACGGTCATTTCGCCGCTCAGTAAAGCCACTTGGTGCCCTTCCAAGCGCAGGTTTACAGACAGCCAAGCAGCCATCTTGCGAGTCTAAAGAAAAAATAAATAAATAATAATGTCGCAAAAAAAAATACTACGTCCCTTCAGGGAGACATTCTTCCTGGAATCGGCTATATTAATATGTGATAAAGACATCTTATTCCTCAGTACACCAAAATGTAAACCCTCAACTATCAGCTGGCATTGTAATGCCGTCTGAGACAGTGTCTGGACCGAAAAAAACACCTTTCCTTACCGAGGACAAAACAAAGTGACAGTCCTCCAGGTCTACGATGGGCATATGGAGATGAAAGTGTGTAGCATGCGGGGTTAAAACAGCTGACTTACACGGCAGAAGATCATGGCCTGTGCAATGGTGAGGCTCCCATAGAGATTACACAGTGATGTGAACTTGTCCTCCTTCTCCCTACAGATCACGTAGAACTGCTTGATGGTGTCCAGCGTCTCCTCTTCCCGCTTCAGCCTGATGATGTTGGGATCAGGAACCACACGTTCTGCAAACTTCCACACAGAGTCCTCAAAGGTTGCAGAGAAGAGGAGCATCTGGCATTTCTCTGTTAGCAGTCTGTGGGGATACAAAGAAATGCCGAAGAATATCGCAACACGAGAACCACGTTGCCAGAGAAAAGTCCTTGGATTTCACCGCTGGTTATTGTGCTCTGAAAGCAACGCACCTGTGGATCCGTATGCTCTGGTCCCGATGACCTTGTGTGGCGATCATCACGTCAGCCTCGTCGAGCACAAACATAGTAATCTTCTTGGGGTCAATGAGCTTGTGCTTGGTGCACCAGTCGAGGATGGTGCCCGGTGTTCCGACAACAATCTGCTCCTGCAACTTAGTGCCTCGCTCCACTGGAAACAATGCGAAAATCCATGTGATGCCATGAGCAACTGTGGCACACTAAAGGAAGTCAAATACAATTTTGGACGCGCATTGCAGCAGAAAATATTACAATTATGGTCAAATTCCTACTTCTGTTTCCCCGAATGGCGTAGGCCAGTTTTACGTCGGGGCAAAACTTCCCCATCTGCTCGATTACTTGACCGATCTGCAGAGCGAGCTCGTACGTCGGCGAGATGCACAGGCACTGAAAGACCCAAACGCTTTGGTTAACGTGGAGCGCATTTCAACGTCGACGCCGGCTGGCTCGGCCGGTTTCACGTTGTGCTTACCTGAGTCCACTTGTTCTCCAGGTTCACATGGCTGAGCATGGCCAGAGAAAAGGCAGCGGTTTTACCCGTGCCAGACTGTGACTGGGCGATCAGATTCTGAGGTCTGGAGGAAGTACGGACATGAAGACACACACATTTTTTTAAACTATTGCAAGGTAATCAGTTACAATACATTTTAGAGCTTGAAGAATCAACAGAAAATGATTCAACTATTTTGATATTAGGATTTTCTAATCATTACAAAGAAAATACATGATGGCATCACTCCGGCCACTAGACTTTGATTTATGTATTATTGTTTAGTGTTTTTATCTGGAAGATTTTACAGCCCAACAAATAAACAGAAAATAATTGTCAATAAAACAATCATTAGTTACTGCCCATATCCACTAACTTCACGGCAAATTAGCCTTTCCTGCATTCTCATTATTGTTATGGTACATTTTGATTCGGGATGTAGCTGTTGTATAATTAAGTTATATCTTGGCCATTTAAATGTGCTAGACTTGGTACAAAACAATTATACTTGTACCACCACTGCAGCCAAATGCTGCACTGAACGGCATTCAAATTAATCAGTGCCGATTACCAAAACATTCACCAACATGATTGATTCATTGTACAAGTAATTTGTCAAGCAAACAAAAAAGAAAATCTGGTTCCAGGCTCTCAGTAGTGAGGATTGACCGTTTTCCCTCAATTATATACAATATTGTCTAAACTGAGGTTTGGCTTATTGATTCTAAATTATTTAAGGCTTCAAGGCGCTTTTGTTTTGTTTTGTTGTTAAAGAGATTTTGTGACTTTAGTGTTGAAGGCTGGTTTGGGAAACAACTGCCAAAAGGGGGGAGAGTGAGCAGGAACTCACGGCTGAGCCAACATCATGGGCAGAGCGTTCTCCTGGATCCTCGAGGGCCGGTTGAATCCCATGTCGTAGACCCCGTTCAGCAGCTCGGGCTTCCTGTCCATCACGGCACAGTGACGACACACGCGGTTTAAAACAAAGTAAAACAACAACAACAACAAACATGTATGAGCTTCAAGAGAGTCAACAAAAGTATTTACAGTCTCAACTCCTCAAAGGTCTTGACGGAGTACAGGGGAGACGCGGGGTCCCGCTGCAGGACCTCCACCTGGTTTCTGTTCCGCACCAGAGAGCGGCGGATCAGTTTGTTCAGCAGGGACTGCTCGGCCAGGTCCGCTTGGTTCCAGCTTTTCCTCGAACCTCCATTTTCAGCAGTCTCCGGCTCAACGTTGCCTGCGCAGGTGGAAACGGCACCACGCGAAACGTCAATGCGACGCCGCGGGGCGGTGCAATTACGGGATAGATCTGTGTGAACGTTATCGAGATTTTTTATTTTTTTTAATAAGTTACCGTTTATGTCTCCTCCTATGTTACGAAGGGAACACACTCGATCCACTTTCCTCGGGGGGTTCAACTGGTTAGAGAAAAATAACATTATGGGCTAAACCAAAAAAAAGATAGCATGGTGTGAACAGCAGCTAGGTAGCAAATTAGCCCGCTTGCTAATGAGCGAAGAGCGGAGGTACTTTTGGGGAGGCGTTTGTCTCCTTTACAAAACGCACCTGTAGTGATGGAGTCGTAGATTCTTGGAGATCGACGGCGACTGCCCACGAGTCGTCAGACATTTTCAAACTTTGAAAGTAGTTTTCTGTTGAAGCAAAACGACACTTTTTTTTTGTTTTGAATCAAAAGTTTGATGTCAGCGTGAATGATGTGCGTCAAAGCGAAGTGACGCCGCGCCGCTGCTGCTGACCAACCGTTACCCGTTGGGCCGCACGAGTGGTGCCTTCAAACCCATCGGGAATATAGTGTTTTCAAAATGTAGGCCACCAGAAGCAGCTAATCAAACGGACCAATAACCGGGAAATAGGAAGTTACAGGTTATAATAGTAGTCATACGTAAAATAAGCATAATTCTGTGGCATATCTTTTGTGGAATAGAAACGTTTTAAGAATGTTAAGAAAGTTTTATGATTATTTAGGAATTACAATTACGTTTATAGGTCTTTATCTATGTGTATTAGCTAAAAAACATGTCCAATTGTTTTATATTCTTCTTTAAGCAAAGATGAAAGAAACGGGTATCCGTTCACCCATTTAACACAAAAGAACGCTTGAATTCATGTGACTATCACTTTACGAAGTTTATAAACTGTACTTGAAGGCACCGCAGTATTCCCACCCTGTTTGTGGTGAACATGCTGACACAACAATCAGATTATCGACACAAATCTACTACGTGACAACTGATTTGACCAATTCAATTCAATATACTTAGTTTATCAGTGCAATTAAATTATTTATATATTTATTTATTTATTTATAATCGAAACTTGTTTATGTCATCACTCTTTCTGTGTCAATTGAAGTCTAGGCTGATTTAGTTTCTTTGTAAAAGTTAATGTTGTAATCTTGATGTGTATCAATATGTGTGAGTTAAATATTTTTTAATTCAAGCCTAGTTTAAGTGTATTTTTTAGGCCTGGTTTCATAGTCAATAGAAAAGCGAGTATGGCCTTGATTACTTTTCTAATATTGATTATTATGTGTTTTTCCATTTATTGTGTATCATTTTCTTCCTACCAACTTAAGTTGAGACTTTTTTCAACCTCAACATTGCATAATTAGTTAATTAATTGTTTTTTCAATCAGAAACAAAAGGGAAGAAAAAATATCCCTGACAAATTGTCGTCCATGTGAAGAAAGTTATATATAGTATAAGAAACTATATATTCATGTCCACCACATGAATTACCAGCAAGCCTGATTACCTTGCGTTTAAAGAAGACACGGCCCCACTGTTCCATGTAGAGCTGAGGCAATGCTCAACGTAATGCTATCTGGATGTAGTTTATTTAATAGGATGATTTGCTTGTTTTCTTTGTCGTATGTGATCACAAACTGAATGTCTTTAACCAATTGAATTACATGCTCTATGGCAATGCCCCTAACAATTTTATAGACCAAACAATAAATCAAGAAAACAATCTACAAATGAACATAAAATGAAATTAATCTTTAGCTGGAACCCTATAATTGTATTCTTCATTACATACCCAATATCCTTTTTTACCTCAAATTTGACTTCAACCACGATTTGGTTGTTCTGAGACATAATGAGAAATAAAGTAATATAATGTAATTTTGGTAGTTGTAATAATTCAGATGGTGCCTTTGTGTGCGCGTGTGTATTTGTGTGTGTGTGTTGGAGCGGTTGAGAAACGGATAGACAATGAGCTGGAAGAAGGAGGGAGGGGGCTCGTGTGTGTGTGTGTGTGTGTGTGTGTGTGTGTGTGTGTGTGTGTGTGTATGTGTGTGTGTGTGTGTGTGTGTGTGGGAGTGGGGGGGTTTGCAGACCCGGGTTTATTGGCTGCAAGATAATTCAATTTGGAGGCGGATGCTGAGTTCCAGATAACCCACACGCTCACAAACACACCGAAACCGTCCATGTTTTCAGGACTACAAAAATGACTCCATATAAACATGAATTAATTGCCATGGTAACCCCTTCAGAAAACAGATGATACAATCAAGCAAAAGACAAACACAGCCAAAGCACCCATGTTGGATTTGAAACATTCAGGGCTTTTCCCATTGCACCCGAGGGAGGAAGAGAGAGCGACTAGGTGATATGATGCGGACACGTATTGCTCCCACCACCACCTGTCTGTCCCTCCGAGCCTTTTTGTCACTGTCCCTGTGTTACAGAACATGTCAAGTACTCTGATCCAGCGCTGTTATAAACAACCTGAACGGTTCCGGTTGTCATCGACGGCTGGAGTGAGTGGGTGGTGCTGATGCTTTGAATGGGAATAGGGGGGGTTATTGGAAGAACTGGATCCCTCTGTCTCAGCCCTTCCCTCCCTCCCTCTCTCTCCCTCTCTCTCTCCCCCTCTCTCTCTCGCTCAAACCCCTCCAAATCCAGCCTCCACAGGGAGGAGGAGGAGGATAAAGAGGAGGCGGAGAATAAATGAAACTGTTTTTGCAACCACATGTTGCTGTGCTTGATTGAACTGCTGCAAACAGCGCCTGGGCTCCCCACCTTCCACCGCTTTGCAGTGTACATCCAACTAACGATGTGGCCGCTGCGTCTGTAGTTTCTACCACCTGTGGCAGCGCTCCTTTTTCCCTCTTCGAGGGAACAAAAAAAGGTGAGCCGAGAGAGGTCGGAGAGGAGGGGGATATCTTTCATATTAAGTGGACATCTGACACAGAGAGATCCTCGCTGCACACCCAGTTGACACAAATGAAAGGTAAGATAATGGGTCTGATGCTGTGGTCATGTCAGATGCATTTTAATGTTGCAGCGTGTCTCTGTGATGATGCATGTGTTGAACACCCCCTGTGATTTGTTTGAAGGGAAGAAAAGGTTGCCGGGTCAGATGGTTAAAACTATCAGCGATGCGTCTTGATTTACAGTGCACACATACAGGACAGTGTGTTTCAACAGGTCGTTACCTCAGTGTCTGCGCTCCGTTTTGACACTAATGAGCGCAGAGGAGTGTGGATACGCTGTCAGGAAATGTTGAGGTTTGTTGGTCTTTAAGCAAAGCCAGGCGGGTGGCAGGGTGACTCATGTGGCTGAGCCAACCAGGAGGAAAGCATCCTGGGACTGACACTTTTTTACTCAAATTATCACGCGCTGAAAGATCGTTTTGAAAGGAGACACCTTAGAAAAACACTTGTAACGCATGTAAATGTGAACGCTTAATGTGAACCTATTCAATTTGAATTCAGGTCACCGCATGAGCTAGATGTTTAACTTCTAATTTATTGTTGCTCTGCGTCTGTGTCACTTATGTTGTCATGTGTTTAGCCTTGGTGTAGCTTGCACTGCAGCAACCTGTATGGAGAGCCTGTTTTAATAGAGGGACAAAGGGATGTGTACCTGTTTCCTTCTCAATTTGTGCTTGACTGGACACATGATGGCACTGTCGAGACAGACAACTAAATAGACTGCAATTACATCCGCAGGACTTTTTCGTCACCACGAATAACCATGTTTTGCCTAAATTTTAGTTTGACCAAGACCGTTTGGTTTGAGAATACTTATTTCATATTTGAATTGATTCTGAAGGATCGCTTGTTATAGCAAGGTGGTGTTAAAGTTGCGTCTTTGGAGATTAGTTTAACCTTTTCCATGGGAATTTAATTTCGTGTGAAGGAAAGAGATGCCTTAGAGTCGTAATTAAAACCGGTCCCAGCATTATAAATAAAGGCATCACAACTGGTCGGTCTGCAGCGGAGCACGTGAGCAGAACTGTCTCTATGGAAATTGCTTTCGTCATAACACTTCCTATCACGCCTGTGTGCCGGGGGGGGCTCTGGTCGTGCAGCAGGCACAGACCCTTAACAGCACATATCCGTGATTGCTGGCGGGGGAGAATACATTAACAACGATGCATGGTCCAGAAGCATCAGATCATTTTGATTGTACACCTCACCTGCTTCATTCCTCCTCAATCCTTTTAAGATGAATATTGTTTGGTTTAAGTCTCTCTTTTGACACTGTCGGATGTGTTGTAATAATGATAGCGCCCTCTATTAGTTTTATTGCTGTGACCTTTACATCAAATGCTCAAATGCTCACCTATCTTAAAGGGTCTTTGACTTTACATCCTACTCTTGAAGATTAATGGGGTTGGAATATCTACCAAACCTGCTACCCCGTGGTGTAGAAAGCCGCTTTGATGTCATGTAGTCTTATAGACCGTAATGAGGCCTTTTATGTGTGTTTGATGTACAGGTACATGCTCAGTAACAAGATCAGTGCAGACCCTTTACAACCTGGACACAATCACACTTCTTCCCCCTTGTATGCAAAAACAAAGGACAGAGGAACAGTTTTTTTTCCCCTATTGGTCTTCACTCTGATGCACACTCAGTTGTCCCCAATGCACATGTAAAAGCTGCTACTATAGCTGCTGCAGTTTAAATACATCGATACACGTGCATTTTCCCAAGCACAGGAGTTAAATATAATTTTGAGTAACGTTTAGTTTATTTCCATTTTATGCTACTTAAGAAGAGACTTCTGCTCCACTACTTAACTACTACATTTCATAAGGAAACATTGTACTCTTTACTCCACTATATTTGCTTGATACATTTAATAATTTGACCTGCAGACGCTACATTTTAATAACTGCTTCAATACTTAAAGCATATTTTACACAAATTCTTCATGTATGTGTATTTATTGTATAATGACAGTTGTTTTTGGCCTTTGTTTGACATGTGGCAACAACCCAGAATCCTAAAGCCAACACCATGCCTGGACTCATTAACAAGGAGAACCGGAGCGCTCTTCCCCTCAGTGTCTCTGATATCACTTCCTGTGTCAGGGGTTACACTCTGGCCATGACAGCCTCTATGACCTATGAGAATTTTGAGGATCATGCAATTGAGGGTGAGTGTGTGCACTACAGGAAACCCAGTTGTTTACTGCTGGGCAACCTTACGAAGCGTACTCTCTGAAATACTGTTGTGAAATCATTGACTGGATGTATTTAATGGTTCATCTTCTGGTTCATACCCTTATTTCTGTTTTTCCTCTCCAACTGACATTTAGGGATCTTCATTTATCCACTGGAGGAAGATTCTATCGTTGTGGGGTTTGAGTCCATGATATCGAGTCAGATTATAACGCTGCAGATCAAAGACAAGGCAAAAATTGAAGATTGTTATGTGGATTGCTGCAACACATCTAACGGAGGCCTCCAGAGTGGCAGCGGTGAGATTGAAGCTGCTCTAATCAATATTGATATTAGATAAAATGACTGTGTGTGAAGAAATTTTTCTAGCAGCACCAGGATGCTGTGAAAGAATCTCAGATAGCCCCCCCGGACTCCCATATGCTACCTGCTTGCAACAAACGACAGACGGACGTAGTCAGAGACGAGCTGGTGAACATCACCAGCATTTAACAGCTAAAGAGGCGGATATTTCCCCGTGGACTCGCTTGAGCCCGAAACAGAACAGAGCTAAAAGAGAGTGACCTTTGAACGTACGTTTGTAATGATGTCTGAAACACGACTTTCACGTTCACGTCAATGTGGTTGCGTGTCTGCTGGGTGTGTAACTAGGCAACCCTATCCCATTAATAACTCAATATGTTGTTTGCAGCTCGTTGTGCTGCACCCAACGGACCAGAAATATTAATGATTTCTTGGAGGTTAAAGGGGCAATGTACTTATAATACTGGGCTTTCTCGGGGCAGGATTGTGACTACAAATTTGAACAGAAAGATGTTGGTATTTGAGAAATGTAGTATCCAAGATTAGTTGAGCTATGCTCATATTTTTCATTATTCTTTAAAAGTTAGTCTCCAAAAGCATGACAACTCTATGGAAATACTAATTCATTCTGATTCTGCAGGACATATACTGATTGATGAGGATCTGGAGAGGACAGTGTTAGTGGTTAACCTCGGGATCATCCCTCCTATGGAGACGGTCCATATTCTGGTCAGCACCTCCTCTGAGCTGTCCACCCTTCCCAATGGAGGCATAATGGTCTCGTCCCCTCCCGTATGTACACCGCGGGTTCAGAGGACCATCAACGAGGAGCAGGGGCTATCCCCAAACTTCTCCAGAACGTAAGAAAACAGATCAAATGTAAAAGCAGCTGTCTTGTTGGTATTAAATCCTGCTACGTGTTCAAACTCGGCCTATTTTGAAGTTGGATTTGTCACTGTGAACCCTAATGTTGTCGTGTACAGAAATTCTATATAGTTATTCCCTTTGCTAATCTTAGGCGGGACCGGCCCAGTTGTTCCTCAAGTACCCACGATCAAACTCCCAACTCCCCTCATCTGTGGTTGGCTTCACTGCTGGAGGAGGAGGCCATCAACTCCATGGACTACGAATTTAACTTCCAGCTGGAGATACGGGCTCCCTATCTCCTCGCAGGTCAGAGGAGTTAATCAGTGATATGTTTAATTGCTTGGCTGAAAAGTGTTATGCACCTGTAAGCTATCTTGAAATAATAGCTCTCCTGTAATCAAGTTCTCACGCCTACAATAAGAAGCTGCAAATTTAATGCATTCAGACCAAGTGAACAGAAAAAAAGATCTGTCCTTCTGTGTATCGCGAATTATGTCTATGTGTGTTTGTCTGTGTCACACATTACTGAATGCTGGTGTCTTACTGGGCATTAGCAACATTATCGGGAAACCCTAATTGTTAATGAAGAAATGCTCACCATATAGAGAGATGGTAAAAGGTTGGACAAACGTCTTAAGCTCAGGGTGATTTGACTTAGTGACTTATGCACAGAGCAAAGCAAGCTGCTTCCAATCGTAATGCTACACTGTTGTCCACTGCCGATTGCCGATATTTACCCCATATGAGTGGTGATATTCTTAATTCTTAGCGAGAAAGCAATTTTCTTTTCTTTTTTTTTGGATTACTTCACGTTTGGTGATTTTTGCATCAAGAAAATTCTCGCATTAAATCTCATAATTGCTGGTTGTTTGCTCAAACTGCAACAGCTGCGTGAAGAAGGCATACGCTCATAACATTCTTTTTCTGTTCTCCGTTGACTGTTATGTATAAAGGGACCTGCTGGTTTGTCATTTATGGTTTCACTGGAGGTGAAGCCATCTGTCTGTGTCTGTTGCTCTGTAGGTGTAGAAAGTCCGTCTCACGCCATCAGAGCTGATGCAGACCCTCTGGCGCGCTCTGCAACAAGTGTGGTTATCACTCTGGCTGACAAGTACACTTATGACTGTCCTGTCAAAATCCTCATCTATCCCAGCGGTAGGTCCACCGCTTCAAAACTGACTCACAGCACCACCGTGCAATTGATTATCCGATCAAGTGCAATATTTTTAAATAGTTTTTTTCTGTTCTGTCGCTTAATAAACAGCCTTTTTTGGTTTCAAGATTCCTATGATGGGATTATTGTGTGCGTGTGCAACACTATGTGTAGGCCTTGTTGTCTCACAGGCAGAAATGCACCAAAAGCTTTACAGGGATCCAAAAGCACTTTTAGAAGGTTTTTGTTCACAAACCGAACCTGCTGCCACTGCTGGGTAATTTAATTCAGCTCAGACCAGTTTCAGTCAGAACATGGGTGCCCAGCTTGAGATGAGATAGACACGACTGAGTGGCATTAGGGGCATGCGTGTGTTTGTTATAACGCACAAACCAGAGGGGACCAATGTCTTTCCAATACCAGATTGGTTGATTAGACAAAGACATGTTTTGTTGTATAAATTACAAAAGGGGTTCTTCTGGCTTCACCAAGTTCAATTTGAGATTTTGAAAGACACAAACAATCTAATACTTGTTTCAATACCAAAATAAAAATATCTATCAAACCATTAGGAACGTTGCTTATAATAAAATTTTGGCAGTATTTCCCTGCAGTATATAACAAAATCCTACCAATGATATTTTTAAATATAAATCGATAAACATGACTAGGAACTGTATCAGCAAACACATTTCACAAACTGTCTTGTCAGGGGTACGTGGGGAAGGCAGGACTCAAATGCAGAGTTCAAAAGCAAAAAGACTTTAATAGTCAAAAAAGGCAACAACGCAAAAGGCAGGCAGGAACATCCAGGACGATGGACAACAACGCGACACGTGACACACGGCTTAAATACACTAGGGAGGTGCAGGTGATCGGACACAGGTGGAAACAATCAGACAATCACAGACGATGACAGGACAAGGCAGGAAGTGAAGTTACCCAGGGAGACAAGAAGCAGAAAACTACAAAATAAGACAGGAAATAAAACCACACCGTGACAGGTCTGACACACTAAGACTGTAGATTTTCTAATAATTTAGAGATAGATATAATCTGACTGTAATATTCATACTAATCTCTATATTTTCTCAAATTCTGTCCCTTTAGAGCCTCATCTACCACATGTGCTCATTGAGAATGGAGACATGACGCAGGAGGAGTACGATGAATATATTCAGGGACGGAGCGATTTCATCAAAGCCGCCAAGAAGGACTCCAGCAATGAGAGGAAAGTGAGTGTGTCATTGACATTCGCACCATGTACCCGAAGTGATGACGTTATCACACCACCAAGGGAGTGCTAAAGACTGCACAGTAGTAACTCACGAACACCACCCTGCTAAAAGTGCTAAATTTGTGACACTGCAACAGTTAGTTATATATTTTTTTGTTATTTCTAACAAAATCATGCAATCAAACACGATTGGTTGAGGAGGTACACTCAGATTCCTTGCTTTAGCAAAAGTACAAATATGATGCCGGGAAAAAGCTACGACAGGTAAATGCATTATCAGTAAAATATACTACTACTAATAGACGGTTGCCTTTCAGTGTTTGCCTATTATATTAAATGTTTTAATGGATTGATATTGTTGGTGCATTACTGTCTGTTACTATAGCTGTTCATGTCGCAAATGCAACTTTGCAACAGAAATATAAAGTAGCGCCATATAAAAACAAAAGAAGTAAAGTACAAGAAGCTGAAAATTGCAGTAAACTTAGTTACACCATCCCACCATTATTTTTCTACCTACGTCATGTCCATCCACATGTGCTATGAGCAGTTAAGTGACCAGCGGAGGTAAACAGAAGAAGAAAGACTACTTAGCCATGAAATGGGTTTCTATGGAAACACCTCAGGTAAGATTCACACTCAGATTGGAGTGTCCTGCACATCTACATTAATTGCTGCACTCTGCCTATCAGCCGGATGAAGTGCCTTCCATTGCCTTCTTTGTGTGATGAAATAAAGCCTGTCGATTCATAAAAAGCGTCCATTTAATTCATGGTGCCACGTCTCGACTGTAATGTATGCCTTTCATTTATATCTACAGATAGCTGTAATTCACAGGCGACTCCACAAGGACATCCTCCACAACCCCGTGGTCATGTTGAACTTTTGCCCTGACCTCAAGTCCATCAGCTCAGACCTGGGGAAGGTTCACGGCGAGTTCATCTTTCTCATTGACCGCAGCGGCAGCATGAGCGGAGTTAACATCAACTGTGTCAAGGTATTCTTTCATCACATACACTGAGTTTACATTTAAATTGTGACGTGACCCCTTAAAGGACGTTTCATGCTGAATGTTGTAGTGTGTTGTTGGGGAAAGCTAATGCCTCAAAACCCATCGTGAACGTGATGTGTCATTAGAGGCTGTGTGAATGATTTGAAGGCGTACGACCGAAGACATTCTGCAATGTTTGGAGATCATAGATTTGGTTCGCTAGCTGTGTTAAGGGCAAGTACACAAGGATATATTGATCACCAGAGTCATTCAACATTCTGCAAATGTCGCCTAGTGGCTACACAGACTTGCTGACTCGTTTAAGCTAATTTCGTTTCTATCTAATTGTAGATTTTCTGAATGCTTATGCACCAACTGTGCTGTTTGGAGTGAAGCCAACAGGCGGTTTTGATTTGTGAATGAAGGCCATTGATCTTATGAATTTACCATTAACCATCGAGAAATCCTGCAGAATGGCTTTCAACAAAGCACCTCAACCTTTTTTTCTTTTTCTTTGTAAAGACACCTGAATAAGTATGTTTAGTTTCATGTGGTTAGATCCTTATTTTCCTTATTCACCTGAATAAAGGTTGCAATAAGTGGTATAGCTCAAGAGTCCAGAGGAGCAGCGCGGGGGCAGCGCCTAGGGTCTAGACACCACCCTTCCTCTGCAGAAGAAGCAGTGATGGATGAAAGGACACCGCGTGATGCCCCTCTAATCTTTTCTCCGCTCCATGAGAAAATTGCATGTGCAGTGATGGCCGCTGTGTACCTGAGATCAGCAGACAACGTTGTACTGCAGTGGAAATGTTCAACAGACCATCAAGCACTTAATGAACAGCAGAGCTCGGCCTTTTGAGGTTCTAATTTTTGATCATGAGGTTAATAATCTGCTCTCGGCCTGTTTCTCTTTCTAAGGACGCCATGGTGGTGATTCTCAAGAGCCTCGTTCCGGGCTGCCTTTTCAACATCGTAGGCTTCGGTTCCACATTCAAATCGCTATTCGCAACCAGCCAATACTATGAGGAGGTAAGGCAGGTCTGGAGCACATGACCCAGAGCAAACGTAAGATGCTGTAGCTCCAGAAATGAGTTTATCTTGTCTCTTCTTCATCTCAGGAAGCCCTGGCCCTGGCTTGTGATTATGTTCGGAAGATCAGGGCCGACATGGGGGGCACGAACGTCCTGGCACCGCTCAATTGGATCTTGAGGCAGCCGATGTTCAGCGGACACCCCCGCCTGCTCTTCTTGCTCACCGACGGAGCCACCAGCGACACAGGCAAAATTATTGAGGTGGTCCGCAGTCACTCACGCTACATCAGGCAAGAACTGCTGTTATTTCTCTATTTTGAATGTTATAATGACAAAGATCAATAATGAGCGACATCGTTTGGGATATTGTCATATTGTTGAAAAGGAACCTCTGCTGTCAAAGCTGTTTCGGTTAAAACAGTGTAATTCGTACCTGCCGACAAATTATATGATGTTAAGAGTAAGTATGATGGTGACCCCTGTTGTAGTAACAGCACCAGCAGGAGCTACTGAATGTAAAAGCATTGGAAAACAAATGCATCTTTTGATTTGGACCATTATTCAAAGGGCAATGGAACAAGTGAAACGTCAGATGAAATCATGTTGGGATTGTCAGGGGCTTAACTGAATAACCGGCGCTGCAGCAATAATCCGCTCAACATGAAATCCAGAAATAGGTATCAAATGTTATGTGAAAAGGAAAAGATAGTTTTAATATGGCACCTGGAGTAAGGAAATACAAATGCTCTCATAAGGACGGCACACGGCGGTGGCACAAAAGATCTGCAATACACCCGGAAATCGTTTGATTTTAAAGGCTGCATCGAGGTGTCACTGTGGATCCCTCTCCTAAGTCATTCTGGAAGCAATTGACTTTTGTCTTCCCCTTTTCAATGAATTACCGCCCCCAGAGCTTTGCATTACTACACAGAGCCCGGCCTATTCATCAACACTGCCTGGGTTATTATCACACTATGCTTACAAATCAGCGCTGCCGGTCAGAGGCAAGACGGGGAATATCTGTTCTGGAGAAAAATCCATGTTAGGTTCCCTTCTACTAACAGCATACAAGAGGCAACATTTTTGTTTAAATCTAAACCATCAAAATGCAACGAAACCTAAAGCTCCCCCCCGGAGCACTCCGACAGGCAGCAGGCATGTCGCAATTACAATAAGGGATGATTGCATTTCCCCCAAAACCTTTGTTTTACAACATGACATTAGATATGTCTCTAAAGCAGCTCTTTAGATCACTGCAAGTCCTCAACATTTTCCTACAATCTGTCCATGGAGCCGTCTTTAATGTGTCTGTGCAGGTGTTTTACTTTCGGCATAGGACAGAGCGCTTGCCGGAGGCTGGTCCAGGGACTGGCGACAGTTTCCAAAGGAACAGCAGAGTTCCTGGCTGAAGGGGAGAGGCTGCAGCCCAAGGTACTCATCTCCAACATTTCCAACTTAGTGCATCATTCTCGATAACTGCCGGTTGATCTGGGGGGGGTCACCAGGGAACCATTATACTTAGCACAATAGCACAATTGGCCCCCCCTCATACCAATTGGGAAGTCATATATAAGAAGACGCTTTATATACTGGTCAGCGAGAAGCTGTGTTCGATATCTGGAAGTCTGGAAGTGCTTTTTTACTCCACAGATGATAAAGTCGCTGAAGAAAACCATGTCTCCAGTGCTGAGTGACATTTCTATTGATTGGCTCTTCCCTGAGACGAAAGAAGTGCTGCTGACCCCCGTGGGCAACACCTTCCTGTTTCCAGGGGACAGTCTGATCGGCTACAGTGTGGTCTGCGACGCCACGCGCTACCACGCCAACCCCAAATCTGTAAGTGCAAGACATCGACTGAAAGAAGACAAAAGACTGCCTGCAGGGTGACCTTTTGTGTTGGGAATATATCAGACAAGGAAACCAGATTTGTTGAATAATTGAGTTATATTGAGTAAGATTAATATCTTGTCTTTTCTTTCTGTTTGATTAAGTTCCTATTTTTTAATTTGTGTTGTTTAGTTTCATTCGAACACAAAGATGTTTTCGCAGAAGATTAAAAAAGACCTTAGGTCAGCTATGAAGGATTTTTTTAATCAAATATTGGACGTGTCACCCACTCCAAATCCCACCAGGATAAGAGGAGGCGATACAGTATGATGCGCTCCGTTGAGTCATCCAGCTCCGTCTTTTACCAATCGCAAGATGACGATGCGCTGAAGGCAGGTAGCGACTTCCAGGGCTCCAACAGGGAAGCAACGCTAGAGGATTCCCGCCAGGACTCCGTGACAGAGAGCCCCGTCGTCACTGAGCAAGACCCTTTAGGTAAGAGAGTCCATGCATCCTATCACTCCTTCACTAGACGTTTGTGACATCTCTGGACGGATCAGCTCCAAACTGTCAAACTGTTCGTACGAGTGGAGGATTCAAGGCAGTTAAAAGGTACATTACGTAAGATTATTGTGTGGAAATGTTCATCGTCATTAGAGGCTGCTTGTAAGGTCGGTGGAGTTAGATAAACATTACCGGTGGCTGCACTTCTGATGTCAGTCAGATGAAGCTGCCTATCAAGCCGAAGCTAATATCACATGCACGTACAACATACAGCAGATATTGGCTCTCAACACAACTTATCGGCCGATAAGTAAAGAAATTGTTGCCTTGCAAAAAACTGCAAACTGGAAAGGATTTACAATTGTGCCTCCTGTGACAAATCATGTAAATGAAAGCGAATAGAACACCAGGGCTCTCGAAGAGCAAGAGAGACGTGAGAATCGGCTTCCTTCAAAGTGCCATAATTACCGTCACAGCGAAAAAAGTGCGATCTTATTATTCTCATTCTTATTCCAAACAAAATGATGCTGTCGGAACATGAATGACTGTGCGTCACAAGAGATCTTCCAGTACGGATCAAATAAAGGCCCACTGTGGTAAACTTATGGGGTCACTGTTGTGTCACAACCTTTTGAGTTCAAGCTTTTCATTTCAGAACTGCCCATAACTGACAACGGTATGTCAAGGATTGACTATTTTTACTTTGCAACAAAACACCAGGGTTGGATTGTAAGATGTTTCCGAGACGGCGCGCATACAGCACCAACCAGATAACGGACCACACCTCGTCGAAGAAGGTCTTCACTCCCAGTGATCCCAGCTCGGTGGTGGCAAAGAATCCACTGAGGAGAGCCAAAGTCCAGGAGCTGATTGGCCAGATGAGCCCTGACAACGAGGCCCAGTGGAGGAACGACTACCAGGTCCGATCACACATTACCAGGATAACGTTCACATAATTGCTCTTAAGATGACCCGGTAAGGGTTTGTAAAATGGGTGGGCGGTAATTTCTGACTCGGTTTGCAATTTGGTTGCAACTCACAGATCTCAAAGAATCTGGTATTTCGCACATGACACAGTTGTCATATTACCATCATGTGGAAAACAATAATATTTGTATTCGGCCTGTGTTGATAAATTAAACAGCCATGTGACCCTCTGGACTGGAGTTTAATGAATAACAGACTAATGTGCTCTCTTCATTAACGAACGGCAAAAATGCATGAATGGTAATTAGGTTTGAATATTGCTGGGGGAGCAGATCAGTAACCAAACAGACTCGGCTGGTCTGTGAAGACATTATATCTTCCATTTGCAAATTAAGCTGAGGATCCACTGCCATCGTTCCATAATTAATCTATAAACAATACATGTGAGTTAATGTATGACTTTCTATTTATTTGTTTGTCTAATGCCAGAAAATTGAAGACATCCAATTATGATATTCATTTAACTGTGGTGAGGAGGAGAAGGATTTTACCGCTTTTTCTTTTATTTGTTTGAATTGTTTCATCACATTGAAGAAACCCTCGGGAGATACTTTAGTAAATGTCTTAGTCGGTTAGAGAAAATGAAAAACTTGATCACATCCAGCTGAGATTTAGGAAACTGTGTGAGGTGCTATTTTTTGACATATCATGTCCTAAACAAGGAAATGAACGTGAAAATAAAGTCCACATTAATCTGCAAAGAAAACAATGATTTGCAATATAGATCATTTACATGTGTATAATCAAACAATGAGTCCTGAGTGTCCATCTGTGCTGTAATATGAGTCTCTATGTCTCTTAAAGGCACCATGACATACACATGAATGAACACACTGAAATGAGTGGAAGTTAAATTAGTAGATGAGGTTCCGTACCCAAATATAACATCAGTAAATTGAATATCGTTTTCAGCCAGAGTTGCCAAGCCTGACCGCCGCATCTTCCAGAGGGCATCCCGCCAGCTGCCACAGGCCGCTCACTCAAAAGGAGCCGCTCCTGCAGCACGAAGTGGATTCGGAGCTTCATTTCCCACCTGAGGACGATCCCCAGCCGAGCAGCATCAGCACGCCGCCTGCAGCTCGCAACTCGGCTGGGGAAAACGGATCGAGATCGTCCACCGACAGCCCTCCTGTTGGCAGCATCGGGGATATGGGTGAGACCAGAAACACAACAGTGTTTCTCCATATCCACATCCAATAGCTGAAATGCCATAGAAATCCAATTTACACACTTCATTCTGCTTTTAAAGTAGCTACAGTTCAAGCCAAGTTTACAGTGGACTTATTCAGTCTGAAAAGTATTTCACATACAGATATAAATGACATCCGTCCAAAATCCAAGAAGGGAAATGATGACTGATGATCAAGCAGGGAGGAGACTCTAGAGAAGGGAAGGAAATAGTTTTTCTTAATTTGAGAACCAAACAGAAAATGTATCAAAAACATAAAAGGAGGCATTTTAGGAAACAATTATTTGAACTTCATCCACGTTTGATGCACACACAAAGCTTAGGAAACATTATTTAATTAATTGATTCCAAACAAATTGATTTCCCAGTGAGGGGCAGATGGATTTGAAGACATAGTCACAAGTGCACGTTAAGGAGTCAAACCTTTGATATTTCAGATGGCTACGGACACCAGTTGTGTCACGCGGAAACTCCACAGGAGCCCCAAACATCAGATTTGGATGCGGCCTCCCGGCCCAAAGGGGACTGCAAGGCAGTGGTGTCCGGGCTGCTGTGTGGGAAACCAGCAAAGTGGGAGGTCGTCTTTGATATCGAGCCCTTCCTGAACGGACGCGAACGTGAAGAAAAGGTTCACGAGGAGCTGTGGAACGAGACCTTCCACCACCTGTCCGGACACTCCATCATACGCGACTTTGAGCAAATGGCGGATAAGGAGTGTGAGATTGAGCACGGTGAGCTGTATCTAATGGTTTATACAACGTTTGGAGCATTTTAACATTGTAATAGTCACATGATGCGTAATTCATTATCTTATGTTGTATATTTTATTTCTAGGCTCTGGCAGGAAGTACCAGATATACGCTATTCACACCAGCAAGGCCTGCAATATACTGAGCAAATACACAGCGTTTGTTCCCATTGACCTGGACACCAATGAGTATTTGCAGACGTGCATTGAATACATAAACGGTGGTAAGTCATAAAGACTTCCTGGAAACCTTTATATCACCCACAGTTCCGTCAACTCCACATGTCCAGACTTGCTAATGTGTCATTTGAAGTATTCTCACTCTGAAGGAAATGTAAAAAAAACAGTGAGCTCACAGGTTTAGAGCTGAAACAATTATAGAACTTAATTCACCAAACGCTAAATGATTGATTTACCAATGCAGCGTAAATTACGTGCAACCTTTCTGTGTTTTACATCGTTTGTTATGAAATACTTTTGGCTGGAAAAAATACCAAAACAATCAAATGCTGTTTTTTTCAGGTGAAGGGCTGAAGCGAGGCTCTAGCTCCAGTACTCGTTCAGGGAGCAGGAAGAGCAGAGGCTACTCCATAGGACTGGGTCGCTCTCAGTCCGGCGGCGTGTCTGAGGAAGCTGAAGATGTCCTGCTGCCCAACAGTAGGCTTCGTTTGATATATTTCATTTCCAACCGCCTTGGGTTAGGATGACACAGGGCTCCATGTCATTGTCAGACTGCGGTAGACAAACATCATATTCGGGATGGAGGTGGAATGAGAGAATCTATTTCAAGAATCTATTCATATCTGTTTTCATGTGAAATAGAGAGGTTTCAGTCTTGCATCGGTGGTTGCTGGGAGATATTAAGACCTCAAACAGCTGTGTGCTGCATTACATTAAAAATACTTCACTTTGAGCAAAAGGGCACACTATTTGAAATTGGCTTTCAGTGGTGGCATGGCAACAGCAGGTGATCAAAACCAACACGCTGCTCGAGCATCTGCTCGGCTCTGCCAGTTAAGAAGAAGCGTGGAGGGGGGGGGGGGGGGGGGGATGCAGATGTGAAATAGTGTTGGTTATCCTTTCTTCTTTTTTTTTTTTTTTTACATTGCTAGTTTCTAAATTAAAATGGGCTGAGAGTTAATAGAAATACTTGCATCATCGTAGATGGAGAGGATGGCGTCTCTCCGTGCACCACCCCCTCCTCCAGCGGTTGGGAGAAAAGCAGCTTCACAGATGGTACGTGCATCGGACTCATTTTCCTGTAAAGACCTTTGACATGAACCTGTCTGTTTCTGGGCAAAACTGTTGCATTATTCCAAAGGTGAAATATGACATTATTGACATTGAAATCCCTTTTCTTGTAAGTTGTGATTGAAGTCAACACGATGTTGTGACTTGGATGGACAAACTGTCCCTTTAAGAAATAAAGCAATAAAACAAACACTGAAGGCAAAAACACACACAAATGTTGTAGCTGCAGAGAAAGGACACCTGGAATATAGTTTCCTTTATATCTCATCGGTTGGTTTTATCATTTATTAAGTCGTACTCAGATCTAAATGACTGACTGAAATGGCCTCTGCTTCTTTCTCTCTCTCTCTCTCTCCTGCGCTTGTCTAATACTGCGTCTGCTTCTTTGTCTCCTAGTCTTCCAAAGGAGTCCTTCTGTGACCTCTGACCAATCACAGAAATTGGTTGAAAGCCTTTTTTCTGCCAGGTGGGAGATTGGATGTGGGAACACGAATGTTCTGTGATCCTGGTACCGCTGCATTAGCACACATTCCGGGTCATACGTATTTGCATTTTCTCTTTCTCTGTATATCACCTGATTTTGACTGGAGAATGTTGCCTTGAGGTTAATTCATCAGTACAATACCAGGACCAGAAATGACCCGGCTTGCATGGCTCAAAATCGCCAATTTATTGGATTCCTAATGCAAATCCACAGATAACACTTGCTTTCCCTTTTGTCATGAAAACATGATGTGGTGTGTGCTTTATATCCGTCTCCCTCTCTGCTATAAGATTGGCCCTCAGCAGGACTCGCCTACTGACTCGAGCTGCCAAAGGATTCATATGTCGATCTCACAGCAAGTCTGGTGATTCAATTGGAGAGAGTGACAACGAGAATAAAGACTACATTCCTCTGGTGAGCACCGCATCTCTAACATTTGATCTCTTGACATTGATTTCTATTTTCAACCTGCATTTGTTTTGATGGACATTCATGTGATTGAATATAGTATAGATTTGTCTTGAAGATCCTTTGTTTTTCCCACTTAAATGATTATTGATTGCATGAACTGTCCAGGAACAGGTTTTGCTTCCTCCCACCATCATTTTTTTTTTAACAAAGGCCGAGCACAGACAGCTTTTTAAGTCCCTCCCAGACAGCACAAGGAGAGTTTATTTGTATGGCATATTTCAATCCTATTAAAAGCATCAAAACGCAAAGCAAAAGAGAACAAAATCTAAAAACAATTAAGAACATTGATTGAAACATAAAAAAAATTGTTCATCATTTGAATCATTTGTCCTGCGCACAGGTGTTGTTGCAGTTGGCCGGCGGTGCATTTCCGCTGGACACCGCCCTGTGCGAAGCCATCAGTGTGCCCATGGACAAGCTGAAGTGGACGTCCCCCTTCACCAGCCACCGCACCAGCCTGGGGCACCTGTCTCACTCCGGCAGCCGCCGCGCCGAGAGCAGCGATGACGCACACAGCTCCCCGCGTGAAACGGAGAGGCGTCAGCAACCCGCAGAGCCAGCGGGAGGCACCTTCGGCCCCTCTCAGCTGCCCGGCAGTTTGTGGACCGATGGCGGTCCCTCCGCCATAGGCAGCCCGTCCACGGCGCCTGAGCCCCCGCTGTCCGCACACTGCCAGGTGGACGGCGGGCGGGGCTCTGGGTCGGGGCCGTCGGAGGCAGCGTCGCCCGGCACTGTGCCGAAGAGGATGCTGGATCCAGAGAGCATGGTGTGGGCCACGGCTGTGGCCCTCGCCTGGTTGGAGCACAGCTCGGCCAGTCATTTCATAGAGTGGGAACTGGTGGCCGCCAAGGCCAGCATGTGGCTGGGGGCGCAGGACATTCCGGAAGGACGGGACTTGGCCTCCGTCAAGGCTGCGGCCAACCAGCTCTTCATGATCCTCAGACACTGGGATGAAAACCTGCAACTGAACATGCTCTGTTACAACCCCAACAGCGTCTGAGGGCCGCTGATGCAAAGAGGAAACAGACTACTCAAAGCACTCCATTCAACACTATGCCAAACGAGGTCGTGGTATTCTATGTTTGGGAATTTGCCGTCACAGTTGTTCACAGTATGTTTTTTCCTTTTACCACGTGCTGTAACTCCAAACATATCACAATCTCTTCGGAGGCATTTCGTGCTGGCTTTTATCTTGCTGGTGCCTGTAGCTGGATGCCTGTTAGCTTGAGGATCTAATCAGATTTATTCCACAGGTTTGAGTTTCGTGGCAAAGAAGGTCAGAGTTAAATTAGTAGCATGCCGCACCACTGACCGTCAACATCTGAGAAAAGCTTATTGTCATCATATTGATGTTATGGGGTGAATGCTGAAAAGGATTGTAAGAGAAAGAAGAAAAAAAAGTGTGATGGTGTTTTTAAATACGAAAACATTTTTCTGGATTGATGGTACTGTGGAAGAAAATGTTAGATGTTACATCTGGGTACTTGCAAGCAGTACTGCACTTTTTTTCTATTGTTATGACAGTGTTCTTAGTATTTGCCATTTCTGCACACAGAAAAATATGCAAAAAGATAAAGTAATCTAAAATATATATGTTAGTATTTGTAAAAAAAAAAAAAAGGCTTTGGTGGGAATCTATGAATGTTTATCCCGCTAGCATGTAATTTGCTATTTATTATTTAATGATATTGTCTTTTCATATTTGCATTCTAAGAGAGTAGCAGACATGGGTGCAGAGTTAGCATTGCATGGTTAATTGTTTGCTATGTAATATGGATATATTCACCTCACTCATTTAAAAAGGGGCTGCACCACCAAACCAGATGACATATCCAATGCAGGCAAATGGCTTGAAGTTGTCAAATACGACATTTCATACATACTTGCTAAATTGAAGTTATCGAGCTGTCAGCACACCAAGCAATGTGTGTCCTGGTAGTTTCTTTAGCTGTTTGCCAAACACACCATCCAAAACTATTGATTGCAAAATATGAGGTCCAGTTTTTTGGACTATAGTTGGTCTCCTCTTTGTTCGACATTACAGTTTGTGGATGTAATAGCTTGTCCAGACTGTAACTTCTCATTCATCAGGAGCTGGGGGCCGGTTAGGGGAATAGAGTGAGTCAGCAGGCTACAGGCATTGAAAGAGGTTTTCAGAAAGTGTGAGTCACTGCAACCACGAGAGGCCATAACTGGCCCCCCGAAATACTATGCAGTTGACTGCCGCCGAATGCGAGATTAGCCATTGAATGAACCGCGGGTTTTAACGCTCTTTTTCCAATGATTTGCATGGGAACAATCCACGATCAAGATGGAATACCCTTTGCAGCTAATACTGAAAAAACACTTGTCAGACCAGGGCAGCAGTCTAATAGTAAAAACATAAATGGAAATAGAGTCTCATATTGCCAAACCCTCTTTTCCTGAATTTGTATGAATTGTCCTTCCAGCTTTCCTTGAATTTTTGACATTTTCCATCGAGCTGGAGGAAGAGAAAAAATGTGAAGAAAATTTTCAAAGGACTGAGAAAAAGACGACTACGATGGGGAATGCATGCATGGACAAGCGTATAAATAAGTAGTTTTGAAACCAGCCAGTTGTTAATTACAAATTAGGAAGTGCCAATACAGACAGACACACACACACACACACACACACACACACACACACACACACACACACACACACACACACACACACACACACACACACACACACACACACACACACACACACACACACGCACACTGATGGTTTATTCACAGCTGGTGCAACCTAATCCTGTGAAGGATGGGAAGCCCTGCTCTGAAAATCAGAGGCCAAAGGGTCCCGTTATTTCTGTCATGTACACAGCTCATTTACCACAAGTGCCTGAACAGGGTCTAAAGTTGGCAAATATAGATCTGTTTATTGCAGCATAAGCTTTGTGCGAGATGATGGCCCTTTTTTTTCCTCCAAAATATAGCATTTTCTCTCTTCTACTTGTCTCTTAAATCTGTGTGTGGCCTCTATGGGCACGTTTCCCTATTGATTGACTCTCTTATTCCATCACAGTGTTGCTTTACTCAGGTATTTATACATTTTTTTCCCACTCAGGCTGAGTTGCATAAATCCTTCTGCATGAACACATGTGTTTATGGTATGGTGTTTATTGCAAAGTGAGTAAATTGCCAAATTGGAGCCAGTAGTTGAGTATTTGTGTAAATGACACAGTCATATAGTAATATTTTTGTGATGTGATTGCAGTAGTTCAGTGCAGCTGTAAGTGTATATTGTATTTTTATGTACTGGGTCAGTGGTATAAGTGCAGTATCTCTAAACTTGCTGTGTGTGCCTTTATAAATGATTGTTGACCGTTGGAGGATGTTGAGAGCTTAGTGTCTTTATAAATGTTGATGCTGTGATCAGCTCTGCAGGTGCATGTAATAAAACGACTGCCGACAAAGTTACACTTTCTATAGCTGTTATTTACCCGCTGCTAACCACGAGGGGTCAACAACAAGGAGGACCAATGCTCAGACCCTTCTGTTCTTTGTCCACCGCTGTAGCATCTTTGCGTGAACTTTGGAACTGATTGTGCGGCACTTTACTCTCAATGGCTTCCCCATTCAGTGGGGTTTGGACTGTGTCTTCTCTGTAGGCCCCTTTTGACAGCATGCACACACACTTTAACATACAGCAGGGACCACGTGTAGTTGTCATTTCAAATGAACATTGAGCTTCATTCATGCAGAAATCTGGGCTTTGACGCTGCATACAAGCATTTTTGAAAATAATGTTTTATCCAAAATTCTTTGGAAAAAATGGAAAAACACATAAGAACAGTTAATGTCTGATAAAATCACATTCATCAAAAAGGATTTGATAGGCAACAATACTAAACAGTAAAGAAATATGCTAATGAATTGGAAACAACTTTTAAATACCAGTTGGTCCCTTTTCCTCCTCATCAGTTGCTTTCATATAAGATTACATTTGAAAAATATCAATATTGGAAAGTAACAATTTTGGCCATCATTGCGTTTTCTCCAAGATACAACTTTCGGTAACCGTGCAAAAGTATTAATGAGTCGGGCCCATTGTCTTCCCCAGTAGAGTGAAGGACGTGCTGTGTAATTCCAGCCGGCTCGGGTGGTGATGTGATGTCATGGTGACATCCACGGCATTGCCTTTATTTCTTCAGCACATGTGACCCGGCTGCATGCCTCATTAACAACAAAAGCTGCTATAGTGTGCCTCCTTGAAATCAAAGAGGGTAGTAATTAGGCTGACGAACCATCATTTTAAAACTTCCACCCTCTGCAAGATAAAATGTGCAAGAGACTGTTGAAAATGCCCCTTGGATCAGTGAATGACTGATGATTCTAATCATTAATGTGTTTGTCATGTGCCTCAGTAGTGTGTGCTTGTACTGTGTGTGTTTGTTCTGCTCTCGCGTCTTATGCTCACTTCGCTTTTGCTTACATGTGCATTGGTTTTGACTATACATTACCCTCAGTTTCTTTATGTTTTAAATTGTGTAATTTTAGGCTGCCTAAATAAATAAATACAAAAGGATGAGTGATTAATAGAGTGGAGTTAATAGCCAACCTCACCCCTCCTTCATAGATCAAAGTAGACTCAACCCTCACAGTGAAGTGCTTTGAAGAGCTCGGATGCCTACAGCCACACGCACATTATGATATCATATATGGAAACAGCAAAAATAGCTTTTTCATTTTTCCGAATAAACAATCAAAGGAAAATGACCAAATAAGAACCACATACTGTTGCTAGGCTACTGACTGACAGACAGGACATGACAGCATTTAGACATTTTTTAGCACGTATGCGTGTATATATACTTAATATTTAATGTATAACATGTGTTGGCTAAGTGAGATGCAGCAGACTGGGTGGTTCGTTCCACTGATGGAAGCAGTAATACAATTGAGATGCAGGCTGAAGAAGACCAAACCTCTGATGTATCTCCACTCCCACAACAGTCGTTACGTTTCTTTTTTATTTCACACAAGTCCGTCTGCAATGAATCCTCACCGCCAATTATGCCCGTGCATTACAGCTACTTTAACAACTCTGGCTGCAGAACGGAGGCTGATGTCAAATGTAATCAGCCCTCCATGTCACAACAGATTAATGTGCACATAAATAGCGCACAGAACAAACACAAGTAATGACTCCGTCCAGTTGAAAGCCAGTCCGGACGTAGGTTGTGTAGTCAAATAAATTGTCTCAAGGTAGATGTTGATGAGCAGTTCCCATGGAAACCATTGTTTTCTTTCCCTCAACCTGGTCCATCAGGAGTGATGCAATTGTAACTCAACAATTATGTTCGATTTGGTTCAAAGTGTCTTAGAATATATCTTATTTATGTGTTAACTTAGAAACTGACTTACTTACTGTTTGCATGTTAGTTTCCTTCGTATATAAAATATCATGTCATATAATTTAATATATAGTGAAATGTAAAAATGATCCATGATGACGTTGCTTTAATGTGATGGAGGGAAAATGCACGTTGAGCATTGTTAAAGTAATATGATGCATCTAAAAAAATACTTTTTCATCTAACTGCAACTGAGAGGCTTCCTGGAAAGTCTGGTTGAGCTAATTATATTACTTTCCCTGACGATGGTGCTTCACGGAAACAAATTTGGTGAGACACTGTGATTCAAGCCAAGTGATGGATAAACCAATTCCATTAGTCTCCTGGGAAACGTAACAAACTGAACTCCGAGCTCCAGAAACTTAATTAATATTTTTACGTATCTCCTGAAAATAAGTTATGAAGGATTTTCAAGGGTCTTGCAGCCTTTTATTGAATAGATGAAACCAACACATCTATCAACAGCGGACCTGCTGTTACCTTTGAACGGGCTGCAGTGTGAGCGGATTTGAGCAAAAAGCCTGTAATAAACTTACTGAGCTCACTCAAACTTTTGATGACCCTCATCTTTGAGTCTTTTGGACTAAATTGGCCGATTTAATGATGACTGCATGTCGCAAAGTAATTGCAATCAGGAGAGAAAAACAATGAGTCATTAAATTATTAAGTAAATAATTATAAAGTTTTCCTCTTTATAAATCACACAAATGTTAAACCATCAGCCAAGCTCGCACTTGTATGTACGGATGGAGATCTACTCGAGGTACGCAACTGATATTTTCATTTGATGGAATTTCTACTTCACTACATTTCAGAGGAAAATATAAGATTGATTTAACAGACATACTCAACACATACATTGAATCAAATGTTACACATTAGCTAATAAATATGTAAAGAAATAAACAGCATACACATGGCTCCCGGTTTGGCTTTCATTATGCAGTTCTCGCACACTCCTCCTGTGGTACTGAAATTCAAAGTCTCATTTGGGGAGTAACAGCGGGGGCGTCTTTGTTGGTCTGTTCACGGTTTACACGGCTTGAAGAAGAGTCCCCGTACCCTCTTTGGTCCAGAGGACCGGATTTTATTTGTCACTATACGTCACAAGCTTCATGCCTGGTGCATTTGACTATTTATTCCAGTCAGGTTTTCAGTAAGCAAACTCAAAATGTGCATAAAAAACAGGTTGATGAAGATTTACGCATTACCAATCCTGTAGAGCAACACTCAGGGGGGGGGAAATGTATAATAAAAAATAAAAAAAGGATGGAACGTAGACCAATAATTGGAGAGACATGAATAAATAAGCATATCTCCGGGTCAGTTATGGGCCTGGTTGCTAAAGTGGCCCTGATGAGGCATTCAGGGGCATTAATACAATACAAGAGGGAGTGCATAAGGCTCGGCCGGCCTGATTACGCCGTGCATCTGACATTTAGGACCAACCGGCATCAGCTCACTCCAAGAAACCAGCTATCCAGAGGAAAGCTGCGGATGATGCCAAGACCCAAGTGTAGTGTACCATTAAACATTCATAGGATAACGTGAGATGTTGCCATTTGTTTTTTTTTAATAATACAGCATCTTCTTCTGTGCAAACTGCCCCTGATACGGCGTTCTCCCCACAGAAATCAGGCAGGAGTTTCTACTCCCGGCCTGTGGTACGTGTCCATTATTTACAAAATATAAATGAATTAAATCCCCGGACAGAATAAAGATTTCAGATTGTTGCTGGTTTACAGTGAAACACACTTTCAATCACTGCTTTATTCTTATGCTGCTGTGAAAAAACATGCGACCCTTGAATAAATGGCTTTTAAAATATATTCTGTTCGTTATATTTTAATGTAGTTTCAAATGAAATAATAATAGCAATTTTTTTTAAAAGGCTGTTTGCTTAGGGAGAGCATGTGACATAACAATTAGGAGTTTACTCATGCTCCATGGATTCCAAATCTGAACGTGAACATTGTCCACACATGGAGACATCCCCCCCTCCTGGCGGGAACATTTCATTCCTACCGCTTTCTCCCTGTGGCTTTATTCCACACAATGAATGAAAACGAGAGCACTTGGTCAAATTGCATTTTTCTTTAATACGATTACTGTTGCAAACATCCTAGATGCCCGAGAAAAGTCAAAACAATAAGTGTCTGTGCTGGTACCGAGGATGTGCACGTACTGCACCCTCCTTCTACGTGTGTCAAGCAGCACGGGTCTTTCTAGCAGCAAAACAACGAAATGCGAAGGACAGGGTCCCGCCTGTCCCCTTTCTCCAAAACATAAAACAACCTGAGAGAAGCGTGTACAAGTTGAACACCAACAACTTACCAAAGCAAAATCCCAACATTCAAGGAAGGTTTAGGTAGAAGGTCTCCATGTGTATTCTAATGTCAAAGGTGAAGACCGAGTGGGGTCAACGAGCGCTGCGGCCCCGTCAGTTGCAAATTAGGCTGAAACATTTCCATGGTCAGGATTTATGTACTGTATTCCAAATATATACTACCGCGTACGAACCGTTAAATGTGCCTTCAAGGTGAATCCCGGAGGGCCCGACTGTGTTCGCTCATCTTAAGTGCTGCTTTGGTGGCATATAAAAAAACGCAAAACAGACATTAAGACCAATAATTGTCAGTTTGAGGAACACTCGTTCCCTCTCGAGAGACGAGATTACCGGTTTCAAAGTTAATTTGTATGTTTCATGGGGAATATGAGTAAGTATTTAAAACACGGAAACAAACTGCACCACTGACAGAGTTGTCGAGGCAGCTTTTGAGTGCCATCTCTCCAGCGGCGCGACTGCGAAACAAAAAAAAAAAAAAGCAGACTTCTCACAGGACATCAGCTGTTGTAGAGAGGCACCACCCTGTCTATCGTCGCCCTGCAAATGGGGCACTTCTTCGGCTCCGGCAGGACGTCGAAGCACTGGACGCACGCGCACACGTGACCGCACTCCAGGAACACGCAGGACCGCTCCCGGCTCAGGCACACGGCGCAGCTGGAGGGCGACACGCTGCCCTCCTCCACGTTGAGCTCGCGCATGCGCCTCTTCTGCTGCTCCTTGAACTCCTCCAGCAAGCTCCTCTCCTTCCTGCTCGCCCTGTGGCGGTGGTACTGCTTCCACAGGATGTACAGGAGGGTGGAACAGGCAGCGGCGCCGAACACGACGGTCAGAATCCTCCACAGCCGCACGCTGTTCCCCTGCTGCCTGAGGAGGGAGTCGTAATCCAGCCGCGTGAGGAAGTAGCGGAAGCCCTGCTTGGGAGGCTGCAGCTTGATCAGGTCGTTGTCGAGGACCAGCTCGCCGACGCCCGTGACGGCCTCCCCCAGCCGCAGCATCTCCTCGGTTTCGTGGATGCCCTTGGGCCGTTCCCCGCTGATGAAGTGGCCGATGACGTTGGACAGCGACTGGAGGGTGGGGTGGAAGTTCTCGTACGTGGTCTCCAGGTTCAACTCCGCAGCGTCCAGCGGGCGGACGACCCGGACCGCGGCAGCGATCCCGTCGTCGGGAGACCCGAGAGAGAAAGGAACCGTGTTGGTGCGCTGGTGGATGACTTTCTCTGTGTTGTTCCTGTTCACAGATATCACAGTTAACTATATTTATTATTGATTAATTAATCAAGTAGCTGCTTGGTTTGGCAGAAAATAAAAAGGAGACCCAAGTGTAGGAAAACATTTGCAAATGTTTGGTTTCAGCCAACGAACAGACTAAAACCTGCTAGAAGTGAATCTGTGTCGCCTCCAGTAGAATAGTGTTGTTAGTGCTTTATGTAATATTTCATTGGCTGTACAAAAAACAGTTATATCACCCGCGTGAACTGAACTTATGCAGAAAATAAGAGACCCATCATGAACCAAAATCATTTAAAAGGCCTTTTCGTATCTGACTTTCTCCCTTATCTGCTGTATTCACAGTGGTTCATGATTACTCTTAAATACAATGAACCCTGTCCCTCACCAGAGATGAGTGGTGCGATTCCACACCATCTTCTCCTCCTTCAGGGTCAGTCTCTCAATCACGCCTTTACAGTTATCAACAAACTGGCTGTTCAGCGTTTCCTTCACGGATCTCACGACCCCTGCAGTGTGCAACAAACAAGGCACAGTGTGAAACCAACGGTAACTATGAATGGTACATTTTGTAAAATCCACAACGGCCCCACAGACCTTCGATGACCGCATACGGGACACATCGTCCAGGAGTTTCAGACAGGATGTTTTTCAAACCCTGGTCAATGGTAACTTTTTGGGCTCCCTGAGGAAACAAACATTACAAATATGAACAAAGAGAACCTAACAGGCAGTAAATTAACACACACCGCTGTCGTTTATCTGGACGAGAGAGAACGGGTTCAGAAACGCGGCTCGCCTTTAATCTGGCAACCGTTGTAGCTCGGCTCTTGTAGATGGAATAGAAGAGCGCGGTCAAAGCTGAGCTGGTGGCTAAAACCACAACCTGCGCAGTCGAGGGTTTCCCACTGGAGTCCATCCTGGCGTCTGCAGCATTCAGTACTGTTGATGAGAGATTAACCGTATTCTTCAGTACAAATGATATTGGTTCAAAAGCACAAAGAAAATAAACATAGGAAATCCAAGAATCTTGACTCAGAAAGTGTGTGGTGTTTCTTTTACTTTATTCGCTTGAAAGATTCATCAATTATCAAAAATTGGTCAGCTGGTTATTTTGTTCAATTCAATAAAAAATAAAGTGTACATACCATCATCTCATAGGATAAAATAAAATACAAATCCTATAATAAATACATGTAATATGGTGCTCTCAAAGTGCCATTTATGCATAAGTAATTGTACTTTCGATACAATAAGCTGGCTGTTGGATTCAAAGAATAGCTAAAAAGACATCGACACGGTGCTAAAACACGTTGACTGTCTGTGGCTTCTTAAACGACATCCACTACGTATGTTAACTTACTTCATTTGTACTCTGACACACGTTGATTATTAAAGTCCAGAAGCTTTAACCTGACGACAAACACACGATACGAGCTGCTTGTTCACCGCTAACGTCAGCTGAAGTAAACACAAGATAACTGTCACGCTAAACGCCAGTAAAAGAGACATTTAGTGATCTCCTTTGAAAAACACCCGTTTTGGTTCAAAAGCCCCTGACCCGTTAAAACGTTCCGTTGACCTTGTTAACTTTAAACTTAACTAAACGCTGCATCTGAGCAGTGGAACACAAACGACTTCCGTAGCGCGAAGCGAGCTCAGCAGCTAGCCGGCTAGCATTGACGGTTGCAGTATGCTAGCAGCTAGCTCGCTACAGTAGATTAGCCACACTTCAGATAGATTACCCATCCGCATATCGCAGCTGACGTGGTATTTTATTAAGCGACTGCTCATTCGTTATAAAAGGTGTTTTTTCTAACCTTTACTCGCACTCGTCCCGCTGTCAACAGAGGTTGGACAACAGCTGTCGGACTCCACTTCAAAATAAAACCTTCTGAGGTGCAATATTCCTCCCTGCCAGCAGATGGTTGTGCAGAATAGTTTATAGCAACGACAAAACAGGGAAATTACAATAATTTTTCTGTTATTGTAATCCCTAGAATAATAACAGAAGTATGATAGTTTCAGGTAATGAATTGAACCTTTATTCCATAAGGTTGTCTTATTGAGATCAAAGACATAAAGGCACATTCTTTATCATTTCCTGTTTAAAACACAGCATTGTATGACACAACCAGTACATAACACATATTGTGTGCATGTAGTATATATTGGTTTACTGTGTTACTAGTGCTGTAGCAAGAGAAACACAGTCGTAATAGCAATAATGATGTCTGCTCCTTTCAGCGAGGCCGTTCATGCGTGCAACTGCGTGCAACAGTATTATTAGTCTCATGATTATCGCTTATTTGCTTCTCTGCACCCAAATAAATAGAGTTGCAGTTTAGTCAAATGTTCATAATTTCATTAATCTGAGATCACGAAGCTGTCATTTGGTCTGTTGATGTTAGTCTCACATTTGGTATGTCTCTTGCACTGTTTACATATCCTTCTTGTTCCAGTGCAGCGGAAATAAGGTCATGGCAAGAGGGTAATTAATTTAGATTCTGACCCATAATAATGTGAGGGGCTACCTGGAGGGTTTCAACCCTTTCTTGCCCCTAGTTAACCCCTTCAGTCAATCTCTGCTGGCTGCATACAGATGATGCTTTTTCTGCAGTACGGCAAACTCGAAACTTAACCATGACTTTATTATTATTGTTATAATTATTATTTCAAGTTCCCTCCTCTGCCTGAATATCTGTACTGGAATAACTGAATTTGCCTTTTTATCTATTGCTTCATTGAACATTCTCATTGGATCATGCGTGCAGTGTGCTGCATCTCTAAACCAACCTCGTGCACTACTAACCAGAAGCGAGAGGTAGCTTCCACGGCACAGAGTGCCAGCCAGTAAACAAGAACACACACGTCACTTCACATGATCAAATACAGATAATCCTCACTATCTCAAAATACTAAAATTCTTTTTTTTGTTTATATTCTTTATACATAAAATAAACGTGCACATTTCTTTTATAATGATACTGACCGTTGGGGAGATGGGGTAACCTTTTGGAGGGTGTATATTCCACATTCCAAAAGTACTAAATTGAGTTTAAAATTAAACACAGGTGTATATCCGAGGTTGAAAAAAGAACTTATTGGATGGTCCTTTTTCTCTATTCTCCCCTGAACCTTCTTCACTGCACCCACGCTGCCTGCACTGTCTATATTTACACCTCTGCTGCTGCTACTGACTCAAGTTGTTCATAATGTCAGGTAAGGCCTTTCCAAAAAAAAACACACATCGCATCCAGTCAAGAATGGGATAAATGAGCAATTTAACAGAAGTTAAAACTAAATGTTTCTTTTAAAATTTAAACACTTGAATATAGATGTTTTAGCTGCTTTAATTTTAGAGTAAAGTAGAGGCGCTCCGGTGGTGTGACTGGCATGGACGGAGCCTACTCTTCAGTCTGGAACAACACCTTCAGATGCTGGTTGGAGTAGCTTGATCGTTTATGGCCTCACCAATCACTTAGGACCATATTGTATATTGAATCGTGAATTCTTCTTGGAGCCAGCTTCTAGAAACTTTAAATAATAAGAGGAAAAGCTGGCACACAAAACTCCTCGGGCTGAATGAGCCTGATGTAATCAATCTGACATGTGTACACTACTGCCACAGACGGGGAAACGGTCCAACCACGTTTCCAACCCCAGCAAAAGAACAGAAATCACCTCTGGTCCTCTATTTCCATATTACTCACTTAGTGTTGTGGACAAAGTCTACCTTACACATCTAGTCTGCCCACGTAAAACAAGAATAAACTCCCATTGCCTTACTTCCCCTGTGTGTGTGTGTGTGTGCGCATGTGTGTGTGTGTTTGTCACACAATGTTTCCTTTTCAAATGCCAGCCCAACACACATGCATGCGGATTTCAGACCGACAGGAATAACGACAGCAGATGGAAGCAGCAGCTTAATGGGAGGAGTGCAGTAGGCGAGAAGAACGTCACATGTGTCCTCTTGAGCTGTTGCGTTGAAAAGATGACAGTTGGAATTTCCCGTGACTGGTTCAGATAAGCCTCGTCTAACCGTGCGACATCCCCCACACAGACTCCCCTCCTTGTAGAGTCTATCCAATTATAAACTGAGAACCACAACGCACAACAGTCACTCGCATTTCAAATAACGATCTGTCGGATTCACAGCACAGATATTTGGAGTTGCGAGCTCTTTTTGAAATGTCAAAGTAATTCACAGTCCGTTGGAAGGAATGAGACATTTTTTATGTTGTTATTTATAGGCAGAAATAACTTTTGAACTTTTGAAATGTCAGATTTGAAGATTTAGCTGGTAAACAGAACAAAGTTGGTCCTTGCTATCCCAAACTTTCAACAAACTTTGAATGTCTTTCTGACTAGAGAAATAGGATTGATTAGCATATAAAAAGGAAGGTGCATTTCATGGACTCAAAGATGCAATCAAAAGTTTTGGGGCATTTGGACAAAAGCAGAATCTCATGTAGAAGCATTTTGAAATAAGATTTTTCTTGTGTTATTCTCTCACCGTATCACACAGCTTCTTCACAGCTCCACCTTTGCACGCAATCTGCTCATTCTCCCAGTGAAACGGGTTTTATTTGGAAAAGTCTCAGGTATTGAAATCCTCTGACGTTCTGTGGCTGCAGGAACAATGAATGCATAATGAAGCTATTTGGCATGGTCTTTATTGTGGCCTGCCTCATATTCTGTCCCCCTAAACCTTAAAAGGTATCACACATTTACCTGCAACACATGATGAAACACTAATGATGCCGATAATACTGATGAATGAATGATGGGGATATAAGTGTCCATTTAACACACTGCGAATAAGGAATGACATAAAATGCTGGATTTCTATCAAAGTGTAGATCATTATTTTTATTATTAGGAGAGTGGTATCAGTCTTTTTAACTAACTCATGCAACCTTTTACATATAGAAGCTTGGTCAACGACCTTTGACATCGGATACCGATACACCAAGAGCTTTAGCTCCTTATTTAGTTTAGAGTCAGTTTAGCATCAACAGCGATCTATTTCCTAACCCTAACTAGGTGGTTTAACTTCAATTTGAGATTTTGGAAATATCTCTTCTACTCGAGGACTTCTCTGGCCCAATAAAATAACAGTCCCTGTGAAACCAGAAATATTTGGATTGAAATTGGATAAACTGTGTTAATTAGTTAGCTTTAGAAGCGCTGGTATGCAGGTTATTTATTTCATTTATAAATTTTAACTTGGCTTGCTGTTTCTATTCATATCTGTCTTTGTGCTAAGCTAAGCTGAACAGCCACAAGCTGTGGCCTTACATTTTAGTACTTTAGTACATCAGAGAGTTGCTTTTTTTCTGCTCTCGTAACTCTCTGCAAGAAGGGGAAATACTGAAGCTATATATTTCCGATGCATATGCACTAATGTACTCTCATTTTCTATTTCATTCAGCTAACGACATTTTTTTTTTTAAATGGCATTGACTGTACGCGCAAAGTGAAGAATGACTTACAGGCGCGCAGCTCGTTCCCTGAGATGCATTACAGGAGTAAATGGGGGAGAGTTGACCTGCGAGACTCCCGTGACTGCGCCGTTCCCCTGATTAATGGCGGGAATGAGGCTCCTGTACCTGATGTCTTGCGCTCCCTGTTCATTAAACCGTGACTAACTTGAAGTGCATTCAGGATTCATCAAAGCCAAAGCTAATCTATGGTATCAGAGACAATATTGATTTTGATCCTTTGAGGCTTGTACTTCCTCTTTTTGTAAACACAGTAAGCCCCTGTAGCTCTGATGTTCATGTGGGTACCTTATCATTTTTCGTGAGTGTCTTTCTTCTTTTTGATTAGTGGTAGTGGTATTTATTTAGGTCGCTTTTCTTTTCACTGTGAGCTGAGATGCCCCGCTGACGCAATCACACACAGCCATAAATCAGGCATCTGAGAGCTGGGACCCTCTCTGCCAGGCCCCTCTAATTGATTACACCATGCAGAGTTAGAGAGAGAGAGAGAGAGCAATTCAATTAGGGTGACTTTGCTGGGCTAAAATATGTAGCATATGTTGCCCCGGATGAAAAGATGCATTCAAGAGCAACAACAAAGGCCCCGTGGGTAAGGAAGGCGATGATAAGAGCAGCATCACTCTGATAGAACTAATTGGTTTGCTGTGATAACATTCGGCTGGGTTGCTGGTGTGAGTTCATGATGAAGCCGACTGACTCTGGTGAAGATCGCCTGTTTTTTTTTCCTCATACCTACAACGAGGTTAACATCTGTTGTTGCTGCAAAGCACTGAATGGATGGGAATTCAATTTAGTGCCATGGTTTTGAAGACAGGTAGGAAGGTAGGAAGACCTCAAACCTACAGTAAGCCCGGTTTGACACAGTTTTCTTTACCTCAAGTTTTTTTAGGCTAACAGGAACGTCCGTGTATAATGTTTGAAGTATCTCAGAAACAGGAATTTCATGACATAAGATTTCTAAATGTACTATTTTCAGGGGGGGCTTCTGGTGGGCCTCTGCAAGCCGAGTAGGTTTGGCATTTCTCTCTGTCTCTCTTCTGTATGCAAAATTTAAAAAGGGTACATTTTATGAAAACATAATTGTGTCCACATAACAACAAACACTACACATATGAAAGGACACCAATGGAGCAAAGGGGGCCAGTGCTACATGTGCATATGGTTTGTTACTGCCCATAAATCTGTAAACAAGCTACGAGTAAAAAGCAAACGGCATACATGAAGGTAAGCTAAAGGGACACAGGGAAATGAACACACGCCAGAAGTAATTCAAAACATTGGACTTCAGGGAAGTCTGAAGTCCACCACATTGGACTTCTCGCCAGTTCTCCAACAATATTTAACAAATAATGTTGATGAAATAAGGTGCACACTGTATGTAAGAACATGAATGTAAATGTACATTTTGAATACAGAAATACATCCCACTGTATCTATACAGGAGATACATCTTCATTTACCAGCAGTGGGCACGCATGACACTAATTATTATATTATAATGCTTTCAGCCATAATTACAACATTCCTTCCACTTTCACAGTAAAAGAGAGAAGGACACTGGATAAGAAGAGAGACGAAATATTTTGTAATTTCATTAGACGAACCCTCCTCTCCAGGATGGTAACTGGGACGGCAGATAAGTCGATACTGAATACACTTATCCATTTATGGAAAGGCCAAACCATGATGGATTATCTTCAATTTAGCATATCAGGGTCTGCTTTAATCTTCTGTTGGAGATGAACTATCTCACATTACGGAGATGAATAATGGGACTACGGCTGCTAGTATCTCACTGCTTTTTGGGGCAGCTCGAAAAGGTACCAGATCCTCCTGATTCAGATCACGGTCCTGCTGTTTATTCATCAAACGTCCAAACATCCACATCTACATATCAGACAGTGGCTTTAAACACATTCCATCTATATATCTGTCTTTTGGTTCTCAGTACACGCATCGAAGGCAGAAAAAGAAACCTTCTTCTGTGGTGTAGCGTCTCAGCAAAGACTTCATTCACCAGCCGCACTTGACCAAATCGCTCAATGCTACGTAGCTCAGAGGCCAACACAGACTGTGTTTCGATTGAATTACTTGCACCAGCTCATGTCTCCTGACAATCCACACCTTTCATCCACATTGGGAACATGCATATTGTTAAAAAACAACAATTTTCAGCCATAATCCTGACATTATGTATCGGATCACTACAGTAGAAGGTTGCCACCCTTATGAAAACTTGCAAATCTTAATATGTTAACACGTGCTAATTAGCAGCAGACACAAGCTGAGAACGGGCAATCCTTAATTTCGCATGTGTTTGGTCAAACTGAAGTATTTGGGAGATTAAAATTCGACCGATGGCACAAGATGATAATTAACTGTGTCTCAGTGTAACAAAATGCTGGGAGATTCCAGCCGTTAAACGTTGAGCTGTTACCCAAGCGTAAGATTTGACCTGCTGGTGGCGCTGTAGGAAAAGACCGAGGATCATTACGGTTAGCAGGATTCGGCCCTCAGGAAGCATGACTGTCTGTACAGAGTTATAAGTTAAGTTATAATTACATAAAATAACGATTGCTGAGGCATGTCGGTCCAGACTTAAGTTGGTGACCAACACACCGGCTGTGATTGGCATCTGTAGAGTGATGTCCTCAACCTGGCCGTGAGGTCGACAGTGACGTGAAGAACAAGAGCCTTTGCCCTGTACGTTATTAACACCTTCAACATGCAAGTCCCCAAATAAACTAGTATGAACAGTTACATGGAAGACCGTTCTGACAGTCTATATATTATTTTGCTTTCAAGATGAAGGCATGTAAAAAATAAATCACATTTTCTAGTAGAGACTCGTTATTTCCAATGCATAATTAATGCTTCATCCCCTGAGCAAGGGCATGCAAGCTATTTTTTTATTTCAGAAATGTGCTTTTCCTAACAGTTGCTCTTGAAATAATTAGTCCACATTTCTGTGTATTTTTCAAATAATTACATTTTAAACCTGCTGATGTAAAGAAACTTATTTACTGCAGGATTATTTTATTGTTAGACAACGTTAGTTCATGTTTTAAAGGTTCAATCTTTTGACAAACACTAAACAATTAATAACACTACAGGCTCGACAGTCACACCAGGGAGAGAAAGTGGCTCCCTCCCCTCCTCATAAACACGTACAGTGATAACTCACTGCAAAGCCGGATGGATAAATGATGCTTTGGTAGCGAGAAGCAAAACATTGAAGCGGGGAGGGGTTGAGGAAGCTGGCGCGCTGGCTTAAGGCTCCTGCCCGGATCCGCGCTGCGTGATGCACACAACAGAGGAAGAAGAGGAAGAGGAGGAGGGGTTGGAGGAAGGAGGAGCGAGCGGTGGAACGGACCGGTTTCAGGCTCGCAGCCCCTCAGTCTCTCCTCTGTGCTCGGTGAAGAAGCGTCTCTCTGCCATTCCTCTCTCCCTCGCACGCACCAGCTTTTCCCCGACTCCTCTGCCCGAGCTGAGCAGAGCCAACGCGGCGGTTAGAGGGCTCGCTCGCCCTCAACTACTTCTGCAGCCATGCTGCCCTGGAAACGGAATAAGTTTGTCCTGGTGGAGGATGAGTCCAAGAGCAAACCCAAGAGCCTGGGGACCGGGCTGACCTACCACTCCATCCTCTCGTCCCTTCTGCGCTCCTGTCCGGACCTGCTGCCCGACTGCCCCTTCGACTGGGTGGGCAACATCTTCCACAGCAAGCGGCAAAAGGTGCAACTGAACAAAGAGGAGCCCGTTTACAACGTGCGGTACCTGGGGAGCGTGGTCACCATCACGGCAAAGGGAGACGGCTGTACCCAGGAGGCCGTGGCCAAGATCTGGGCGAGGAGCAACTACGGGGAGCAGAGCGTCAAGATGAGGTTGACGGTGGGGCCGCAAGGTATCCGGATGAGTGCCGACAAATTTGGGAAAAAGAAACCCGTCCATCTTTACTCCCTGAACAGAATCACCCACTGCGGCGCCGACCCGTTGCGGCCCAAGATCCTGGCCTGGATCTACAGGCACCAGGTCAAGAACATGGCCGTGGTGCTCCGGTGTCACGCCGTCCTGGTCAGCAAGTCAGAGAAGGCCCGGGCCGTCGCCGCCAGCCTCTTCCAGAACGCCACGTCCTCCTTCAGCGAGTTCAAGCGGCTGAAGCGCCAGAGCGACTTCCGGCACTGCCAGCAGCAGCTGCTGGGCGAGGACGCGGTTCCCCTGATGCCGCTGAGGAGGCTGCTGAACGGGCAGTGCCACTACAGGCCGACGGCCGACAACCCCGGCGGCGCCGCCCGCCTCTGCTCCATCACGGAGGAGGAAGAAGAAGAAGAAGAAGAAGAAGAAGAAGAAGAAGAAGAGGAGGAGGTTGAGGACAGTGAAGATGACAAGCAGGAGACGCAGAAACCAGCAGAGGACGTAACAGTGCAGCGGGCAAAGGTTTTCACAACAAACACGGACCCGACTCAGTTACTGTCAGAGCTGGACATCGGGGATATCGCCAGACTGGAGCATTGCCAAATCAACTTTGTCAGCGACGGCAACAACAACATGTTTACATTCGTGACGTCTCTGGTGTGACCGTTGGAAGACCCCCTCGCCGGTACCCCCACTCAGGCGACACTCCCCGTCCATGTAGTGTGACGTGTTTACCCAGAAACTTCTCCTTCTGCCGGGCGCTGGAAGGAAAAGGCGGATGGTTGTTCTGTTGGTTGACTTTTTGCAGTTTTGGGAGACTGCGTGTTTACAAAGACGGACAAGATGAGCACAATGATGGAGGAGGACAATGATTTCGGAGAAACCAGGAGAGCTCCGAGGCCGAGATCATTGGGATCACGTATTGATCACGGCACCAAGCAGGATGTTTTTTTTCTTCTTTTCTCTGTTGCTTAATTTGTGTGAGGATGATTAAAGCTGCGTTTGCCAGCAGGGACATTTTTCAGACGGACTTGTGATATTCTTTCAGGGGACGTTATTTGTAAATTTGTGTAATTTTTCTAGTGTGACAGATTGTTAGTAGACTGACCTTTCTGAAGTGCTAACAGTCGCGAGAAGTTTATTACGGTTTTACTAATGATCACGGCCCACTATTGATTAAGGTCATAATTTAGGAAGCAAGCCATCGAGTCGACGTGTTTATTGCTGTCATTTGTTACAGTCCTTATCATTTGTGCATGCCGTGTCAGCAGCAACCTTTTCCTGCAGAGCTTTTGTCTCATTAATGTGACACCTTTGATCCTTTGGCTTTTGAAATTAACACTGTGATAAATTTGTGGTCGGGGATAAAATAACACAACTGTTCATGTGGCAATTTTTTATTTATGTAATGTGTTTCCTTTTACATATTGCCGTGTCACCTGGCTTGCCAAAACAACAACAAAAACAGATCTCATTGCTTTGCTCTTCTTCTGCTGATGGACCCTTAGAATCGAACACAAGCTGTGTTAAACGTGACGTCGGGAAATTTCCTGTTGATAAAATCTATACACCCACCGAAAGATACATTGTGATTATCATGAGATTAATCAATTTATTTTCCATATATCCATATTTGATGAATAAAAATGATCCTCACTTGAACCACAGAGGGATCGTATTTTCTAGATGTTTTTCGAATAGATTATTCAAATGAATCCATGAACTTTGCATTCCACTAGTGTGAATCTGCATATAGCGAAAACATGCATCTGACCTACTATTCAAAGACAAAGGAACAACATATTTACACCAGTATTATCTGCTTTGTGAGCTAGGAAACTTTTTGTCACAAGAAAAACCGCAACTCAAAACCAGTGGGTCCCATTATTTGTGGGCTAGTTGAGAAATGTCCGCAGGCCTCTTGCTGGCTTTTCATTCTGAGGGGAGCAATTAATCAGCGTATTGAATTGTTCAGGAAATGAAAATAAAGCACCTGGCTCGGCAGGACGGCTGTCAGGCTCTGACAGAAGAAAGTGAAGGAAGTGACTCACCCATCAGACATTTCACTGCAAACATCAGCCATTTTACTCATAATTTCACACACAACTTTAGCATGTTTGAATTTGGGTGTTTTTCAATCGGCATCTCTGTCACCTAACTTGTATTTGTTTAATATGTTCCAAAATAATTCATCACAATAGCACATTGTAGTGCAATAAATATAATAGCTCATTGTGAAATTGTTGAAAATAATGATTGTCCATGAGTTAAGTTTATCTGTCTTACATAACAACATCAACGGCTGTTTGATTTGACAGAGGAGAGTCCTCATTAGGAAATCCTTCTTTTGAAGGGGAAGAGGTGTTTGACGGCAGAAAACAGAATCCTTTGAGTCGGTGGATCCAAAGTGACTCTGATGGATTCCTTTGAAGAAACACTTTCAGTTTCAGTCCCTTTCGCGGGACTAATCCGCCTCTGAAAAACAATCAGATCTGATGTCAGAATACAGATAATAAATGACTCCTGTGTCCTTGCAGGAAATCCTCTCGTAGCAGGAAACACTACACATTGTGAATACCAACACAAATAATCAGTTTTGGCCATATTTTTTTATTTTCCCTGCATTTTTATTTCCATTCAGATCGACTGGTTCTTGTTCTTCTTAAGTCAGTCACGTATACTCGCTGGTGTTCATGCATTCACAATGGAATGCATTGCGAAGGGCTTCCGATGTTAACGTGAACTGGTTAGCAGAGGAACCACAGCGCTTTTGTAACATAACTCCTGTCAGACAGGCAGAACTGGAGGGAGCAGATGGCAGCAGCAACATGCACGCTGAGCTCTTCCAGGATAATAAGGCCTCAAGCTCAGATCCAAAGATGGTTGGTTGTTTTGTCGCTTCATTCGGGCCGCAGGAGATTCTCTTTAAGGGCACCGGATCTAATCAGAAGTGGCACACGAGGGCCCATCAGGTATCACATATAATCATGCCATCTTAGCAGCAGGGGGTCTTTGGAGAGCCAACACGCTGCTTCTGCTCGCACACAGCTGTTCAAAGGCTTCTTCATCCCAACGCAGCGCCTGTGAAGCAAAGGAGAGTGACAGCGCCGGGGGGAGGAAGGAACGGGGAGGCATGGGGGGGCTGTTGGTGCTCCCCTCCCATCCATTGTGGCGTGGAGGAGCAGAGGAACAAAGCGTTGTGCCCCCGAGAGCAGCTGGCAGCAGGTGGCAGTCTGTTTTGTTCCAGTGACGGTTGCAAAAAAAAGGGAAAAATTAGGTGTTGGGCAGCTTTTCTGTGAGAAAGGACACCGTGGATCAATGAGACTCTGCTGAGCACAGAGAGAGAGAGAGATGAACAGGAACGAGTTGTTTCAAAAAACACGTGCGTGGTCCGTGTTCTCTGAAACGAAACATGGAAATGGTTCTGTGAGCTCCCTGAAAGATTTCATGTGACAGCACTATATGTTCGTTTAGCCGTAGGCTCAGTCATGACATGGTTATTGGGGGGTGTTATTACATAATCTTGTTATTTGTCTTCGGTATCGGTGTTATAAAAAACATTTATTGTTAATTTGGTGTTTTTAAATGTTGTCAGACACACTTTCTATACCGTACAATAAAATAAAAATGAAAACTAAGAAGGGGCAAAGATGAGAGCCAATGTCCACACTCATTTACGGACTGACGGTGAGTCTCTGATGGGCTGTTCCTCTGTCAGCGTGTTTGTGTTCGAGGGCTCTCTCACAGACAATTTGCGTCCTTTATGAACCCGATGAAGTCCGTATTTCTGCAGACTTTGTAAAAGTCAATTGCCCGCAGTTCATGGGAATGTGACGTTGAAAATTGGATCACCAATGGAAGCATGGAGAGGTAAAAAAAAGGTGTCTTCAGCCTGGCAAATTACATCTGCTCGGAAACAAGATTATAGATGCAACATAAAAAAAGAATGAAGCAGAGATTGTATGACACAGATTTATATCCAGCAATGTCACTTGAGGTCAGAATCAGCGGGTAAAAAGTTTGAACACAAGTCTACGATTCTATGTATGCTGTATTCAGCATTCCTACATTATTTGATCTTCAGCTCATTTTGCGGTCAAAGGAGAAAAATTGAGTCAGAGTTACGAGTTCAAATGTTCCGACTGCGAAAGCGAACAAGCATTGCTTTCTATCTCATACACATCTGATAGCGTATTCTGAGAGAGGGACTTGCACACCTGGCAATTTGCAAAGGAGACACTGTGCGTTTTACTGCTCAGGAACAGCGTCAAAATCTGAGACGGAGGGTGATTTTTCTCAAACTGCATTCTACAAGGTAAGACACACTTTCATGGTTCTCTTTTTAAGATTGACTGATAGATTCTATGATACACCTTCTCTACTCTTCAAGTGAGCGAGTGCAAGCCATCAAATACTTTCCTCAGGCCACTGATGCTCCTGATGAGTGTGAAGAAGAAATATTGAGTGCTGCTGAGCTCTACAGCTAACTAATTCATGAGAATCAGGGATATGTTACTGCTATGAAACATTTATGGTTACATGCCATAAAAAGATAAGAAGCGAAACCCAAATTGTTAAGGAGAAATTTTGCAATAAAAAAAATCCTTCCTGTGGAAAAGCATTTAATAAAGGGTCACTTCTCTAGAACAGTGCATACTGTCACTCAGCTCCCTGCTCATTCATCCACCTTTTTCTGCTGCTGAGCTTGTTGAAAATGAGCCACGGGAGATATTTCCTGCCCTTTACAGCTTGCTTTCAATCACACTGCAAGAATTGGAAAAGGCTTCTTTTAAAGCCTTTGTGAAAAAACGTCACGCAACTGAGAGCAGAGTTGTTCATTAGAAACTACAAGAGGAAATGCAATAATCCTTTCACACACCACCTGATGTCTTTTCTAACAGGCTGCAGAACTGGAGGATTGCAGGGAGGTTGCTTCGTCCCCTGATGCAATTTAGCCCACAATAACTTCAATAAAATCAATAACCCGGGAGCACCATAGTTTGTTCTGTTATGGAAGACAATTGGATACAGTGCAGGGAGTGTCCTTGCGGGGGCGGCTTTATTTGTTGTGTGTTTGATGTGCGTCAGCCGCATCGCTGGTTGCAACGGTGTGATGCGGTTAAAGGCTGCAGTGACCCGAAGCGACAGAAGTGCCGCTGTAAGTAGATACTGACATCCGCAGTGCTCACATAAAAACACAGAGACAAAATCACAGGCTGCGCATTTATGTTGATTACTTTTTATTTATTTATTTTAATGTGGAAACACCTCAAAACATTTTCTCTACTTCTGTGTGTATCCTGAGCAGCATCGACGATCCAAAAACTAGCTGTGCTCAAAAAGTAGGCTGACAGAATAAATAGGGAAAATGTTGAGAAGAGAGACAGGGGAACGAGGGACAGGTGCACCGGCAAGTGCAGGTGGTGACTAGACTATAAAAAACCTGCAAAAGAAACTTGGCAAATGGAAATGAACAATGATTCTCCAGCTGGGCGCCGTGACACCAGGAAGAGGATGAAACAATATGTGCCACTGTTTTCTCTTCTTGAGAACGGGGGCTGCACAGTGTAGCGGGAAAGGGAAACCACTCACTGTCTTAATCATCTAATTTAACCTGGTTTTACATGATTTATGCCAGTTACTTACAAAGTCCATGTCATTTTTCAAAATGTAAGAAATCTTGTTTCGAGGATGCTTTTAAAAAAAGAGAAAGATTGGAGTCATGTAACACGGTACATTTAGACTCAGCCACACAGTTTCAGTCTTAGCCTCAGTCTTATTCTGCTCATCTTTTCTGTTTTTTTTTCAGTGGACGTTTGCTACAAATGTTACAGCTAGAAAAACATGTGGAAAACCAAAGCTTTTTGGCTTGATTCAGTTTTTCAATGTTGAAAGTCACAAAACTGTCTTACCCACAAATTTAAGGGCATATTTAGGGGTTTATTGTAAGAATGCTATAAGATGTCGGTGGATGATTTATCCCCATTGACCAGGAAATAAAATACATGGAATATTTGACCCAGAGACCCCCAACATCCCTTGAAAGGTCATTGATGAGCCCTTTGAGGACGAGGGGAAAACAGGACCCTCTACACTCAAGACAATATTTAGCATGACTAGCCAGCGCTAGAGGTGGGCATAGCATTTTTTTTTTTTTTTACTAACTAAACTGCAAAGTAAACAGCGGATATCAATCTTGTCATCGAAACGTAAGACACAAGCGCAACGAATAAGTGATCAAGTCATTAATATACGGCACATTTGTCTTTCGTTGCCTTTCTGTTAACCCCCCCACACTTATAAGGATCTCGTACGTAGAATAATAACATCACATGGAGGCATTACATTACAGTCATGTCCTCTGCCTCCTTGCTGGAGGCATTTAGCTCTTACAAAACAACGGGGGAAAACAGTAATTGGCTGCAATTATCACCACATTTACCGCTATTTTCAGTAACAGCGGAGGTGTTGTCGTTGTACACGAGGGTTTCTGGGCTGTCTGATGCAGCATTGACAGCGCTTTGATTTCTTCGTAATAGGCACAACTAATATCGTGATGAAAGTTTTGTGAAGTGGAGGAAAACAAGGCTCCGTCACTAAGAGAAAAATATTCCTATTTATCCCAGAAGCACTTTGTTGGACACGGAGGCAATCATTCTAGCGTCAGTTTGTCCTCAAGTTTCCTATTGCAAAACAAGGCACTGGAGTGAAATCACTTTGGCACACACACACACAAAGTGGGCCAGGACACACACAAAATGTGCGTGCAAAGCTGGGGGCATTGCATTCAGATAGACAGATTTCGAGAATGAGATAAGTCTTTTCTTTCTCCCTTTCTTGAGCTGCAGACGGAGGCAGGTTGATGAAGTGGGGGCGGTTGAGCGGGTGGACTTGGCCGGCGTGCGAGTGGGTCGGCGTGCACGCCACAGAGGAGGCTGTGTGTGGACATGAGCCACGACTACGGCACCTGAACAAACAAGGGTGCAGGATGGAGCTCGGCAGCCTGTTAGAGGGGAGCCGCTACTGTACGTTACAAGGTGCGGTGGCTTTATTTTTTTAAATCACTTTGCCAGACTCATCATGCAAAACAAACCATTTTGCATCAGACCTTTATTAAGGGTTAGGAGCAAATGATATCACGGTGTGTACATGTATAATTGTAGGGGCACAGTTGAAATCTATTACACTGTTTGTTGATGATAATATAGCAATCAAGTGGATTCTATGATATTTATGAATT